CCTCTGAAAGTTGCTTCCAAGCTGCGAAGCTCGGAGTATTGAAGCAGCTGCCACACGCTCCTCCACACGAAGGTGTGGTGCTATGGCTGGGCTGCTATTTCAGAACTTGAGCTGCGGCACGATAATGAGGCTATGTAGCAAATAGCTAAGAGGGCTTCCTTATAATGGTAGCGCAAGCTACAAGTTAAAGATCCTTAGCGGCGGCCCGGATTGGGGCCTTGCCATATGAGAATGCACAGTTTTAGGGATTCGGTTCAAGGGATTGAGCATGAAGGGTCGGGGGGCCCCCCTTCTTATGGAAACCCCTTTTGTGATTGGTTGATTTCGGGGCCTTTGCGAGGTGAGGTCCAGATACAATTAGCCTGTCTTGGGGCTTCGAGATCCTTATAGGCTTGTCTTTCCGGCAGCCAGCCGCCTGGTTCGAAGATATTGGGGATCAGTACGATAGTCAATGCCCATGCTTCCAACAGCTGCCATGTATGAATACTGTGCAATGATTCTTCAGCGCGTCCCCGAGGTCCCGCTCCATTCTGGGAAGCCCCCAACCCCAGACCCAACACCACACCCTGCCAGTCATTTGATGTCTCTGGGCACCTTCACGGCCAAGCCCTCAGTCTCACTCACCCAAGACTTCGTCAGCAAGGAGTGCCCATCAACCTACTTCGACCCTACGAGTCTTGCTTGTCTTGCTACCTTTATATTTCCCTCGCACGGTCACTATCATAATTTGGTCCGATCGCTGGGAACCCGAGTTCCATTTACACTCCAGATCCCCACACCCCCAACCCCACTCACCTTGAACCAGAAACTCCAAAACCTCACCTTAAAGGGTTGAACGTGGAATCTGGAAACCGCATGATTTTGAGCAGGAACCCTAGATCATAAAACGAACCCTTCTCTTTCCGGTCCACTTCATCCGATGGCAAAAGCAGGAGTGCTGTTTATGATTTATACTTTGACGGAAGCCGAAAGAGCAGAAACCTTAACTCCAATCCTTCGAAGCCGAATCCGTATGCCCCTGCAACCCCGCAGAATTTGATACGGCCTTACCTCAAGCAGCCCTTGCATAATCCTTCCTCTCCCCATATGCCCACCCTGGAGAATATACCGTAATCCTGTTATATAGAGGGGATTCCAAATGGCCCGTAAAAAGGGAAACCCGCTAATCAGCGGTCTACCAGGTTCTGCCAGGTTCTTAGGAGCTCACGGGCCTTTCTGATTGGCAGTAGAAATGCCTTCAAGATTGGGAGAAAAAGGACTGTTGACCTACAAGCCTATAGGATAACTATCCATGACGCTCCTGTTTTTTGCTATGTTGAGACAATGCCACGCCACTCCCTTCACGGAAGAACTGCAGACTCAACTGAAGGCTTGGGAAGCTTCAGCGCTGAGGGTTTTGCTTTAGAGTTCTTTTCTATACTGGCGAGGCTCTCATGGCCTTCGGGGTTCCCGGGCCTGGAGTTTGGGAGGTTTTAGGGTCTGGGGTTGGTGTCGAAGTTGGGGAAATGCCTGCTCCGGCATCCCACTCCTTCAATCATGCGGTGCGAACCATAAGTCGCATCACAGACATAAGGGCCGTGGCAAATTTCTGGATAATGAAAAATGGCTAGCAAGTTCAGAAACAACATATGTTAGCATGGGCATGCGCTCAAAATTTGCCTTTTGTGAATGTTGCATCCTCTATATAGTAGACTGGAGCGATGAACTCCTCTCCGAGAGACAGCGGATGACTCATGACCATGGGCGAACGCGATGCGTGTCTTAAAACTTGACATCTAGAAGGGGACAATTTGAGAAAGTGCAACCGCACTAGAGAGCAGACTCAAAATGCTGGACAGGATTGCACTTTGGCCCTTATGCTGCAAAATCTCTTATACGAATGCCTACAAAATCCTCTCGGTTTGCCGCAAATGCACTTGAACCCCGGAGACAGTTGCAGTCATCCAAAGGACATTGTGACCTGATTGGGAGAAAGATTATAGGCACGATGGCCCATTACAAGCCCGATTCAACTCGTCAGCCCAATTGGAATCCGCAAAGGTTCCGCATGTACGAAATCAAGGGTGTAACGCCAATAATGCACTATACCACCCAATAAAGATCAATAAAGCACATCGCAATTGCTCGGCAACTTCATGAGAGGCTCATGTAGCTCCGGCAGTATGCATGTCTCAAAGGCATCTCGTCTCCTCTCCCACTCTAAGGCTCCACAATCGCTGGCCACCGGCCGTCTAGGTTGAAGAGATAGCTTGGGTACTGCCCCCGCCCAGTAACAGTCTATATTAGGGGCCCTACTAAGGGCTATATGTAATCATATTATAGTTATTATCCAACTGTTACTGAGGGGGGGCAGTACCCAAGAGATAGCAACCTTTAAGCCCGTAATCCCGTGGGAGGAGAGGTGGAGTCAACGACTGGAGTCTTCGGCTCAGGCGTTTTCGATGCTGAGCTCCACAATTCGGTTCGACACCTGGCCATTTTGAGATTTCTGGAAAACGGGAGGGGAATAGTGAAGGATATGCAGGAGCTATTGCAGGATTACCGGGTCCTCTCAAACGGATTCCGAAGGGATTATCAGACCAGCCCGCCATATATCACGACAGATAATTAAGCTGAAGCCTTAAACTCATGGGGATTTGAGACAAGCGCTGTACAGTATGAGGTTGCAATCATTTTACGATCTGGGGCATGGCACAACATCTTTCAAGGGTACCCCACTATCCCGACAGTATTGTGATGCTTGCGGCGGCACAGAACCCCAAACCAGGCGTCCACCTCCTTCATGGTGGGGTAGTCGAACATCAGTGAGGAAGGCAGCCTCAGTCTGGGAAGTGGAAACTGACGGAGGATTAAGCTTGAAGGGAATGCGGGGGATTTGGGGAGAAAGAAGCTTTCGCCTTGAGGCGGAAAGGGCTGGGCTTGAGGGCTTGGGTGTAAAGCTTCAGGTTTAAGCTCTAGAAGTCAAGGCTTGGGGGTGGATCTGGTGTGGGAGGTTCGATTGAAAGGTCTTCCTCAAGACCTCTGTACCCCGCCCTTACCCTAAACCCTAAACCCTTGGGGGGCTACTTTCGCTGGAGTTTCTAGCTTCCTTTGAGCAAAGTCTGATTTCGGCTGCTTGTTGCCTGCTTAGTACATGGAATTAGCAATGCAAGCCAAGTGTCCACAACAATCTTCCTTGCCTTGCTGTGCCTAGTGATTCTCTTACTGGTTCTTGATTGGGAATAAGGGAATATACTCCCTAGATCATGACTATATATTTCATGCTCCCTACTCAGAACCAGTAGGTTATGAGGGTTTTGAAACGACCCTCTTCGGGCTTCAGCTTAAGCCTAAACTGGGCTACAGACAGCGATGGTCAGTGTCGACAAGGCTGAAATTTATCGTTGACCTGGCTTGTTGGGTATGGCTGATGGGTTTCATACAGAATCCCCTGAATGAAGCCTCCAAGTGCTTTCTTGCCGACGTCTGGCTTGAACGGGTAAAACTAAAAGTCTTGAGTGCCGAATGGTTAGAATAATGGAGACGATATGGAAAATAAACTGAAGACCTGTGCAGGTGTTACCTAGGGTCTAAGCCAGAGAGACCCCATTTTCATCTCCTAAACCAAGACCGAAACCGTTCAGCAATCAAATCCGCGATTCACGACATTGGGAAACCTTTGCTGAAGGCGATAGAGACCTTTAATATACACGGCGACCCTAATCGCGAAGCCCCATAGATCCCTAGAATGCAGACCCTGAACCCTACGCCCCATGGCCCAAAACCGAAACTCCCCGAACCCTGAACTTCCCAAACTCTAAACCACCTCGGCCCTGACTCTATACTTTAGACACACACACACACACCATACAACAAGCTCACTGCAGCCAGGGATCTTGACTCCCAGTTGCTGCTGAAGACCATTTCTGAACGAGACGGCTGTCAAGCTGTCCTAGGCAGCTTGAGAGCGTATGGGTCTTCCAGGAGGAAAACAGGCGAACCCAACACCGAAGAAATCCCCAAAACTGGCCTTGGAGTGAAGAAATGGATCCTTGCTAGACCCTACATACCCGTTATGGTAGTTTCCATTTTCTTTTCCGTTCCTTCATTCACAGCAAAAAGGAACATCCATCAAGCGAGGCTTCTTTGCATTTTTTGTGTGCAAAGCCCTTTTCCTGAATTTAAAATCTGTTTTCATGCGCTTTTTGGATCCCCTACTTCAGAGCTACCAGCGTCTAATCAAGTCAAGGGAAGATTCGAGGTTTGGGCTGAGGGCATTTTGGAGTTGTCAAAAAAGGGGGTCCCTGTTTGGGTGCCCCTGCAGCGAGGATTGTAGTACGATGGGATGCACAATGGACCCCACTTTGAACATCCACCTTTGTCGGGATTAGCGGAGCTATGATATTTTTTTGAAAGTTGTCGATTGGATTTAGTGTAGGCGGCGGCCGAAAGTAAGTCCTTTGTGCACTGACTGGTTCGCATGGCCTGGCATTTGACCTGAACATGAGAATTCAACGGCCTAAACAGGGCGATTAGGAATCGCACAGGGACAGTTTGCAGTGCGTATGGGGATAGTTAGCTGTAACCCGTATGCTCCGCGTTTAGAGTAGAGAGCGCTTCGGCTGAAGTAGCGAGACATTTAAAAAGGATGTATATCAGAAGGTTATACAGGGGGAAGGGATTGGGGCTGATTAGGGCGTAGGGCTTCCGAAAGCTAAGGGCCCCCTTGAAGCACACGCTGAGCCTTTTCGTCGTTCAGGAACACGAGTGGGCATTTGTCCTGGCATCCTAGGGGGTTGGATTCCTGACAACACGTGTGGCATGTCAGCTTGGACTGTACAGGAAGTGTTGTCATCGACATCTGCCCAGCTTCCCAACGTCTGACCTTTAAAGAATGCCACCATTCTTGCGCCCCACTGTGTGTGGAAGCATTTGTGGCGCGGAAACATGTCGCCATAAGACGTTTGTGGTGTACAATCGTCTGTAGGCGCCAAAACTGAGACCATGCAGCCAGCAAGATCTCATTCAGCCAGTGTAACACTCACAAGTTGCACTCTCCGCAAGATCTCTCTTACAGGCTTCACAAGCTTGAAGTCCCTCTCAGCACAGCCAATTTTTGGGCAAGTGCTTTGCTTAGGCATCTGTTTAGGCAACCACTTGATGGCAGCTTTGGTGGCATCGACGAGCATCAGGACGTTGAAGCAGGTCATCAAAATGCCGCCCACAAGTCCTACACAAAGGAAGGGCGCATTCCCCTCCATGTAGAAAACCATCATGGCTGCTACACTTTGAGAGACCCACACATATACGCGAGTATAGCAAATCGTCATGAGCTGGATCAGCACGATGGCCTGGCAACAAGGAAGGAGGCGTCTGACTCGGGTAGCTTTGAAGTATGCCGCCTCCCCGAAGCATAAGAGGGGTTGACGAGACTAGGATCCCGTCTTGGAACACCAGGGGCCGAACTATACTAGGGACCGCGCGATGGTGACAATCTATCATATGTTATTTCTTCAACACTACGCTTACACGGATCGCCAGCTTAACGAAAGGTCAGCTCACTCTTGCTTCTAAAGCACATCTTCAGGGCTTAAATCCCCTTCAACATTATTCAGAAGACAATATCCAGAAATTGTCTGAAGAGAAGCCTCGCTGACGCAAATAAGGTGGTGCACCGCAGAGACATAGAACGGTGGCTTCTATCTTAAGGGATGGATAAGCTTCGCGGGCACGACTGTGACTGATCTTGCAGATGCCTACCCAGACCTTGTACCTTAGCTACACCCTCGCAGAAGCTATGAATCTTGCAGTCCATGGCCCGTTGCTTTACACTGTTGCTTTCCTCAGAAACCTCGACTTTGGGCATCTTAGAATGGCACCTGAGAGAACTCGTGCTCGTTTGGGCCAGAGAGGACTTTGCATTGTGGGGGGGGGGGAGCGTGGGTTGGGTGTTATAATTGCTAGGCAGAAGCGATCAGGCAAGGGCAGCCTGCGTCGAAGTATTCTACCCGGATGAACCATTCCGAAAACATGTGCAAGAATTGGCCTTGTACTGTAGGAGATCCCACCATGAGCTCTGCGTGTCCAGTGTGAACTTGTAGCAACCAAGCAGATAACAGGTGCCACCCGCAAACAGCAATGAGAACATTATTGCATGGAGAGCGCTCATGGATGAGTAATACCAAATCATGGGCATAGTCAGCATCAGGGCTAAGGTGTGGTGCAGACAAACAATGCCAAGAAAGAAACGCATCGGCAGCTCGACACCAAGGCATTTGAACGTATCTGGGCAAAACGTTCTTAGTGTGATCTGAACTGCATCGTAAAGCGTGAAGGCCAAATCTCCTAAAGCACCAGCATGGAAAAGCCATTGCCCCGCGGAACCAGCGGCGTCCCAGCCGCATAAGGCCACTGGCGCCAGGGCAAGGCTCATCAAGAAGTGGTGCGAACAAATGGCAATCGTGAAGCAGTAGAAATCTATCACAACATCTTCGTTGGATGTCGCCGTCTTGCTGTAGCCAAACAAGTCGAGCATAACCTTCCGCTGGAGGGGGATCATGCGTGACCGCCATGGTTGGTTTTCAACCCATGTGATCAGTCGCTTCTTGGTCAGCTCAACAGCACCGCCTGCTGGGCATTTTTCAATAAGTCCAGAAACTGAAGTTAACTCAACTTGGGACTATAGTTTCTATATAAGCCACCATCCAAGGTGAGCTCGGGTAAGGTTTTTTGAATATTATTATAGGAATACTATAGTAGGTTATAGTATTTTAAGGGTTAGATAGGGATATTGGACAAATTGGAAACTACTATGGCATAATAGGGTATATATTGCTGTTATACTTCGCCAGCAAGCCTGTGCATGCCGCCAGGCCCAAAACAAGGGCAAAGATTGCAAGAACCATGCCCTGGCTCCGACTTGGATGACATTGAAACAGTAGGGTTATGAGGTCTTAGGGTTTAGGCTTCAGGGTTTAGGGTTAGGAGGTCTTAGGGTTTAGGGTGACCAAAACCCCTTTAAAGGACATGCACGGTATATCTCGAGGTTACAGGGTCTGTTCAAATGTTGGGGCCTAAATAACTGCTCATGTCATGTTGTAGTCTCTTGGAAATCCTCTATAAGGGTTTAGGGTTTAGGGTAAGGGTATAGGTTTAGGGGTTTAGGTTTAGGGGTTTAGGCTTTACGGAGTTAGCACCATCCTGTTGGTAGTCAAATGGGCCCCTACGCTATGCGCGCATCAGAAAGATGAGCACAACCATATCCTATGGTTCCCCCCCCTCTAGTAGATAGGAACTGGAACTGCCTAGAATCATAGTAAGATTCCCATATACGCCATATTCTAAAACCCTAAACCCTAAATCCTAATCTACTAAGGGGGACTGTAACCCTAAACCCGAAACCCCAAACCCTAATCTACTTAAGGGGACTGTAACCCTAAACTCTAAACCCCAAACCCTAATCTACTTAAGGGGGACTGTAATCTGACCCAGTCACGTTCAGGGGTCCAAAGCTCCGCCCAGCTATCAAAGGAGCTCTGAACCTACTGCAACTTCCCTTGCCTTGAGCCTGGATTGTATGCAGTGGGATCTTAGAGGTTCATGGATTGCAGGCTTGAGGTTTGGAGATTATCGTTCCAGAATGCCCAACATTCTGGCAATGTTCGAATCAGAAGAGACACAGGTTTTAGAGAAGCCGCCATATTACGTGAGGCCACGCTTACTACGTCTAAGCTGTGCAGGCCACGATGCTCACATGCCGAAAATACACTAAATGGCCGGAAGAAATACAACCAGTACAGCATTGGGATGTGTTGATTGTATCTCCAGGCACGAAGCTTCAAGCGAAGTACAAAATCGCACAAGTCTCCCTCAGGTCCCCTACGTTTGTATTTTGTTCCCTGTGCTCCCAGCCTGACCGTTCCTCGGAAGTTCAACGCACTGCTCACCCAAATACAAGGTGCCTGAGTCCCCTGATATGCTTATAATAGGATTAGAGTTGCCCTGAACTTCCATGTACAGCGTCAACTCTCCACCAAGGTGCCATTCCGCTGTCCATGAGCGCGCTATCAAGGAAAAGCTCATCATCTACGCCAATGGCCTTGGTCGACTCCCACTTGGTTAAAAGTGCTGTTGCAGCTCTTCAATGCTTCGCTGGAAATTAACTGCTCTATTTTCCTAAATGACCTCTCCGAATCCAGTCCCGGTCCTGGCTTATATAGCGGCGTGCTTGCGATGAGACCCCAAAATCCATGAACCACACGGCTCTCGAAATCCGGGACAAGGTCTTTACTAGTCGACAAAGATGCCTCATGACACACCGAGCTTGCCCTGGTAAGCTGGAATTTGCTCGAACGTGAAGATCCGCACAACAAATGGGCACGGTACTGAGGCTTCTGCTTATTCTAGTTTGCCGGTACTGAATGATATAATCAACCCTCTAATGTAAGAGTGCTTTCCAGCTGAGCCGGTGATTTCCATCTCGGTCTGGGAACGTGGCTGGGGAGGGCTGATCAAGCAAAATGCAGACGTGACGGCCACAAGATTGAATGCTAGAACTCGGCTCCCCTTATGCCTCAATCCAGATGGCTAGCTGCTGAAGATGAATCACTCGTTTAGAAAACTGGTGGGGGCCTCTGATTCCTGTTTCTTCCTAGAAGAGAGGGATGCAAATGGTCAGCATCTCAAACCCCTAAACCCCTAAACTCCTCAATACTTTAGACCCCAAGCCGCCCGGACCTCAAGAAAAGGTAGGAAAACCTCTGGTTCAAAGCATAGTTGCTTGTCTGGCCATCTCTTGCACGGTGGCCTGGCATATCAAGGCTAGTGTCCAACATCTAGAACTTCATCAGAAGCAGGGGAGGCGGGCAGTGCAGTTCTCCTGGTATCATGACAGGACTATAGTGACCATGGCTGCTGACTTTAGCAGGGGGCTTCTGTGACAGCGGGACCAAAGGAACCAGAGGAGTGCTTTAATAGGTTCATATCGGTTCCATTAGCGTTGCTGAGAGGCCGAGTGGCTAAACGTCATGTGCCTGCCAGTGGGGGGAACCTCGGGAACCCTATAGACTCAGCTGAAGCCTGAGAAACAGCCCAGTGAAAGCAAAGGATTGCAAATCCTCAGGCTGTCCAGTTGCAAGCTCATGCTTGAGGAAACCTAAGAACCAATCCCCCCCCCAAAAAAAATTGTCCGCTAGCACCTAAATCCAATATGCACGCCTTGCAAGCCTGAAATACCCCACGCTTTCATGAGTGCGCCTGCACCATGGCGGGATCCAAGCCAACCTGGTCGGCGCGAGAGTCTTCTTGCAGGTTCAGTGTAACTATAACCCAACTAGAATATGGCACTTGAAACTTTCATCCTGATTGTAGCATATACGGCGCTTAGAGGTCATATTTGGGTGAGGAAGCACAAGTATAGTTGGGTCCTAGTTACCTGAACATCCAAATTGGGTTCAAGCCAGGATTGCGGAAAGCATGGTTCACCAATCCCCAGCCCTTCAGGGTTTAGGCTTACGAACAACTATGGAACCCAGGGTTTGTGGTTTCTGGCCTTGTCAAAACTAGAATCTAGAAGCGTCTTCAAACATGGCAGATATTCCGCAGGGGCCAAATTCAGAAACCCCGCAATAAGCATTAATACTGTTGAGAGGCCCTCCCCAAAAAGGTGCCTAGTGGCTCGGTAATCCGCGGCCGATACTACAATTACCTAATTGAATACGTCAACCCCCCCACTCATCCCCTCTCAAAATGTAGCCTAACATGTACATACCTATGCACATGTAAATGCCCACGCGCATGTATACTCTGACAGGGCCCTGAAATCCACCTAGTACAAACCATTGGATTCGACAAGCTCCGCCCCCGTCACTCCTCAACCCCAAACCCTTAACCTTGTAGCTGCCTCCTTTGTTGCAACCGCTGACACGGCTGCCTCTGGGGCGCCGCCCTGTCACAGCTAGGCTCAGTGGGCATCAGGGGCTTGGGATTTGGGGCCGTTCAGCATCTTCTTGGGTGACAGGCTTAAAGTTTAGGAGTTGCTGTTTGAGGATTTAGGGTCGAGGCTTAGGGCTGTAGGTTTGGGCTCCAGTGTAAGTAGCATTTAGGCTTCGGGGTTCTTGACGTTTTGGGTCTGAGGCCTTATGCGGTTCCTCTTACACACTTTCTCTGGTTTTTTGAATACTTTTCTGCCAAGTTCATGTTACGTACCCCCTACCTGACTCATTCCCAACCATGCCAAAGGTTGCCAATTAAGTTTCTTGCTTGGCTTGGAGTAGTGTGGCCAAGTGGGGAGAAACTTGTCAATGTGAGAGCAAGCACCCACATGTCGGGAACGGGATAATGCCAAAAAAGTAAGATTCGGTGGATTGGAGTTCGCAGTTGCGGGCAAAGGGAAAGGTTCAGGTTGGATGAGCCCTACACGTTTTGGGTTGTAGAGTTTATAGTACTCAGGGAGCCTCAAGAATGAAACGTTGAACCCTAGTTGAAATCGGCTCATGCGCACTGCGAGAAGATAACCTTGACATGCTACAGCCTCACGGACTCCAGGCCACCCTCTTGGCGGCATCCTCAGACGCTATGGATTTCTGCCATCCACCGCGCCGGACGCTTTGGGTGTTCTATGCTGGCTTGGCGAAAGGTAGAACTCATAACTGAGATTGACTTTTGGTACCCCGATCCTGCAACCTGACCTCCAAGATTTTAGGGCTGATAGTTTTAAATGTGTTTAGGGTGTAGGGCTTAGGGTCTTAAGCCCGAGCCCCAGACCAGACTCTTGATCACAGTGCCGGTAGCTATGTCTCATAGCATGGGCAGCAAGTCGTGAATTTGGCTAAAAAGGCGTATCCTATGCCTGTCCTCGGCTTTAGGCTTTAGGGCTTATAATAGGGTTTAGGGTACGGTGTACCACTCCAGAAGCCAACTTGGAAGTTGAGAACCCTAAACCCTAGGAAAGTTCATGGGGTTGACTGGGGCATTGTATGGCTCATAGGGCTACAAGTATACTTACCAAGACTTGCTAAGTCCCACCTGAGGTGCAAGGCAATATCCAATATGGGACCTCTAGGTCTCCTACTGTGTTATTCTACTTGGGATATAGTCCCCCTTAAGTAGATAGAATATGGCTTGGGGAGTATTATAACAAGATCCCTATATATCCCGTATTCTATCTACTTAAGGGGATTGTACTAGTTGTCATTCGTATATACTTGCCCAGAAGCCCCCAAGTATGTAAGGTGGGCCTGCGCTGGGGCTGCACCAGGCATGGGCATATCGCCGGGAGCGGCTTGGTAGTACTGAACTCTCCTGGCGTTCGATCAATCCGCTAATCACCAAATACCCCAACTCCTGACAGAAGAACATTGCCCCTGGCAAGATACGGAAAATAGTTCTTAATTTGCAGGAGGGTCTCGCATATTTGTTTATCCAGGGAAGGGGGAAGGTGTTTACATGGGGGGGTGAGGGGTCAAGCTTCCGGCTCCTGCACTCAAGTGCTTGCTAGGCTGCTAGGGGATTATATGAGGTCCTGAGGGCTCGTAAGAGCCATTGTCTAAACTCCTAGTATCCACCTACAATCCCCTATACAACCCCCTTTGAGGAGTTTAGACTATAGATCATAAGGCTTTACAGTATTATATAGGGGACCGGAAACTACTACATCATTTTTAAGTTTTTTTTTGCCATGAGCCTTGCGAGGATGGTCAAGATTCCTTCAACTTGTGTGCTTAGGGTTTAGGCTTTAGGGTTTAGGATTTTTAGGGCTAAGGATTGAGGGCTTGGGGTTTAGGATTTAAGTTTTTCGGGTTTGGGAGTAGGGGGCATGGCTCTAAAAACATGGCTGGCGTTTTTCCGGCTCTTGGCTGTGTTTTGCTCCTTTATCTTGGGGCTTGCGGAGGCAGAGGCTTCCCCAGGGCAATCTGGTGATCCGCGGCGCTCAAACCCAAAAGCCTTCACCGAGTCTAGAAACTCCAACACCTCTGTAAAAAAGGAAGTTGCCAGAAGAGCTATAGTCCAAACTCCGAGTATCCCCCTTAATAACCCCCATAATACTCCCCTCTATAACCCCTTTAAGTAAGTAGTTTAGACTAGAGCTCATATGGGGGTGAGCATCCTGTTTTTGGAGGGGGCCGGCATCTAAGGGTCTTGCAACTACCGCGGCGCTACATATCACTTACCAAAATTCCTGGCCCATGATTCGTGACCCAACGGCCAAGATCCTGCAACCTTAGCCCAACACGCCACACGCTACTTGAAATGGGAGAAAGAGAATTGGATCTCTACAACTATTCCTTCGCAGTCCCCACACATACCTCCATGAGCACCTAGATTGATTTCCCCACTCTTCCTTAAGCAGGAGGAGTGAACTGCTTGATTCTCCAGGTGCAGAAGGCTGAAACAATTTCTTTTTGGGGGGCCATGGTGACATCCTATAAACCCTCAATCCTGAACGATAAACCTTAAACCCTATACCCTAAATCCTGAACCCTAAACCCTGAACCCTAAACCCTAAACGGCGCGTCAGCCCAAAGCCCCGAACCTGGACCCTCTTCATATCAACTTGGGAGCATTGGGGCAGTATGAAGCAGACCCCGCGCATGACCCCCGGACTAGAGGGTTTCGAGTTTAGGATCTAGGCTTTAGGGGTATATTCCTTAATAGGTCCCCCTGGCCCTTATGTATCTCCCTATGCGTCTGCCCCTTCTTAGTCCGTAGCTGACATCAAGAATCACAACAATATTAGGTTTTTCAAATAATCACAGCACTATAATAAGCAGAGGGATACACCGACAAACACTTGTCTGTAACGGTACTATACTGAGATATTCAAATTTGGTTGGTGGGGGGTTTCGTTAATCGGGCGAGTTACTTTGGCTCTTGTTATTATTGGTGCAAAGGGTTGCATGCCAAGCGGCTGCCCAGCAATCTGGTCAATGAGCTTGTTGGCCTCTTTCTCCTGCGCTCGGCCAGTTTAGGGCGAGACAAATGCTCCTAAACCCTAAACCCTAAAACCGAATCCATTCACATGCTATGTGAGTCATTGTCTAAACTCCTAGTAGCCCCCTTAATAAGCCGTATAGTAGTCCCCTATATAATCCTCCATAGAATCCCCATTTAAGCAGTTTTAGACTATAGCTCACGTCAGCTTGGGGGGATGGTATGCAAGGGGGTTTCCGGGCTTGGGGTTCAGCTCTAACAAGTCTGCCTTGTGCTACGTAGGCAACGGATCCACTCTACATAGAATCCTAACCTGAAAGCCTTGTATAGAATAACCCCAGGCGGGCCTCGGAATGATTAATTGGAATAGGATTTTGATGTTCATGTCAAATAAAGGTTCTCATGAAGCAGTATCGCTAATCCTTCTGACTCCTACATTGCTATCAGGTGAAAATAGTATAATAGTCGTAATAGTAGAAATAGTACTAATAGTAATAAGAGTCTTTATAGTGATAGTGGTAATATTAGTACTAATATAACTGAGAAGGGCAAGCAAGGATCCTTTCGAGGATCACCGCATGCCTTGGCGAGCATCAGCCTTGGCTATCCCTAGTGGCTTGTAGGGAGTACGGGTTTGGGGGTTAAGTGCTTAGGTTTAGGGTATAGGGCATATAGAGTTATGTAAAGGGAGTATAGAGGTTATATTGGGGCTATGTAGAGATAATGGAAACAAAGTGGAAACTAATACATTATATCTGATCTATGCTGGGTGGAGGGGTGGGTGTTGTTTAAGCTGGAGGGTCTCATCTTCCATGACTATCTAAGACAATAATGAAGCAACAACGATGTAAGTATGAGCCAACTTTCCGTGAAGTGTGAACGTTGAAGCAGACCAACTGAGCTTTAGCCCGAAAATACCCAAAGCAGGCCTCACTAAAAAGAAAGGCTCCGCAAGCCTAGCATCTAGGCCGAAATATGTGGCATTAAGGGCTTCAGTGCTAAGGACTTGAACAAAATGGCTTAACGCTGTTGGAGGCTTAGATCCTGAGGCATATATGGTAAGGTGGACCGGAGAAAACGGGCGCCTTGTCTCTTACGTAGTCTATATTTCTGTTCTTACTAGTAAATTACTAGGCCCAGAACCTACTATTGTTTCTACCATTATTACCACTATTACTACTATTACTATTATTCCTGTTATTACAATTATTGCTCATTATTGCTATTATTAATACAATACTATCATATAGCAGCGTGCAGGGGCATATCTGCTAGCCATCAGATGCCGACACAATGCCCTATAGTACTGGGTCCCATCGGATTATAGTCCCCCTTAAGTAGACAGAATATGGCTTTGGGTATATTATAATAAGATCCCCATATACCCCATATTCTATGTACTTAAGGGGGACTATAACTGCAGGTCAGGACAGGACGTCAGCCAAATAGTCAGAGTGGGTTCTAATCCCCTCATACCTTGATGCAGTAGGCTTAGGATTTATGTGTCCTCCTAAACCTGAGGCCCTAAGGATTCGGGATCTTGCCTTCGTATACTCTCGATTTGCACGTGGTTTGTTTTTTGCTGCTTTGCGGCTTGCTTTACCCAAAAACCTGAACCAGGGTCTGGGCTTGAGCCTTGTGTTTATGGCCCTGTGGCAGCAAACCCTAAAAAGCCTAAACCCTGGATGCAGACAGGCTTCCCCTCGTTAGCTGCATCGAGGGCCTTGCACAGAAGGTCATGAAAGGTATGAGGAGACGCCGGGCTTCATGTTTTTCACTTTGGTGGTATTGCCGAAAGGTACCTCTAAACAATGTACCCTACACCCGATACTACCTTCAAGGAGCCACCCAACTACAATGGGCCTTCATTCTGCAGAGATCATGGCATACCGCTTGCAGCTTGAGTAAAGTTCTCTTGTTGGACAAAAACGTGTCGCCCTTATAAGAGTAGCGTCTTACGTAAGATACCTTGGGACGCATGTGCTTGAGGTCAGCTGTTGGGAGCCAGTCTCGCAATGACCGGTCCGCCCTGCACAACGAGGTCTAACCTGCAATATGAGAATGACTACCAATCTTGTTCCCTTATTGTCTGATACAAGTAGACTATGATATAAAATGGTATACTCAAAATCCCTGTTCTTTTTGTTTAGGCGCCTACAGCCAGAACAAGAGCTCCTTTCCGATAAATGACCACACTCGACCACTGCCCACACACCAAATCCGAACTATAGAAACCTGAATACTCCCCTAAGAACCCTTATACAATTCAAGTAGACCGTATAAGGTACCGCAAACTCCTAGTCTAACTAAACAGATCCCTAGACCCTAAACCCTGAATCCTAAACCTCATAAACCCTTAAACCCCCTAAAAGCCCTCAAAACGCATGCCTTCTCGTCCTCATTCTTGCTGTGGTAAATCTCAGCGATGAGGATCACCGAGCCGGCCTGCCGTCGAGTTTAAGGTTTTGGGGGTTGGGGTTTTGGGGTTTAGGGCTTGAGGTTCAGGGATTTGGGTTTTGGGCTCAGGGGCTAGGATTTAGGGTTTACTGTAGGGTTTAAGGTTTAGGATAGGGGTTTAGGGTTCAGGCCGAAAGCTACTTAATCCCTTCATACTAACTTCCCCAAGAGGGGCTATATAGAGGTTACATAGGGTTATAAGGGGCATGCAAGGGAACGGAAAACAAAGTAGTTTCCACTGCCACACTATTTAGGGTTGAGGGCTGAGCTGGCCCTTAAGGGAGAGGAATACCTTCATACTAATGTTAAACACCCCCATCCCCTAACATTAAATATGTCCCTGTCTCTCGAGAAGGAGATTCTCTTATTTGGGGTAAGGAAGTTTTCACATTAGTATGAGGTAACTAACTAACAGAGACCCTCAAAGGACTTTTTAATCAGATATAGGGACTACATACTAGGGGTTCTAGCACGAGTGTGTATACATCTATAAATAGATATATATATATACATGCACATCTACAATCCGTGTATGGTAGAGAGAGAGAGAGAGAGAGAGAGAGGAGGGGGGGAATGCGGAACTAGAATAGAACCCCCAAACTGGCCCTACATAGTCGATGGTCTTCTTAAAAGCCTTGCCGTAGATGCTGCGGAGCTTGAAGTTTCAAAAGAAGTTGAAGGTGCTCCAAGTCAAACAGGCTGGCGTCCCGTGTTAGTCCCCTACAGTCTCGTCTAGAGCATCTGTGAACAGCCACAATCACTTGAAACCTGGGCTTGACATGCAGCAGTACGTGCAATGGCGAGTTTGCCTCAGAGTGACATTGAGAATTAAGCCGGTATCCAAAAGCTTTCATCATGCGGAAGACTGGGCATCTTTCATGTAGCGCTTCAACACCCTCGGACCCTCAACAGGATCCCTGATGGATTGTAGCAGTGCATTCATAAAGTTCCACCGTTGGCTGTTGGAGAATGTAAGCCAAAGACAGGATTGCTCAGCGGTTAGTGGGAAGCGAAGGAGTCGAATATACTATATAGGGGCTATTGAACGGTGTTCTGCATATGTACATACAAGTATAAATATGTCTACTCGTTCCTCAAAGACCTGACGCTAAACAATACATTTGATGTCCTTTTCCAGTCCCACCTAACCGGGTCCAGTACCTTTTGCCTTTTTGCAACAGGCTTTCTTTAAAACCCCTCAACCCTAGACTCATTCCCTGACTCCCCATCACCGGCTTGCTCACCTCTCGCGCTCGCTCGTCCACCTGCTTGAAGATGTCCTGGGCCGATTTCAAGTCTGGGATAAAGTAAACGTTGAGCACAAGGGGGGGTTAGGCTTCACCGTTTAGAGGTTTCTGGGTTTGGGCTTCAGGGTGCAGAGGTCTTAGGCAGGGGTGGGAATGTCTAGGGAAGTCAGAGGGGTAGCTGGGCTACAGTTGGGGCAGGTGTGGTCGCTGTGGGCCCTGCCGCGTCCCCAGGAGCCTCCAAGCAGAACCTGAAGTCTAAGTACACTCATCTGTGCAAATGCTGCCGCCGCACTCTGCAAGCTTCCTATACGGCGCTCGTCACCAAACTAACAACGGATCAGCCAGGTTGGCGGGCAACATTGTTTTGTTTCATTCAACCCCCTCCGGCCATATCTGCAAGGCCTACGAGCGCCTCAACCCTAGGCATGATACGGAGGTTTCCCAAAATCCATTAAGAGAGTCCCCCACTTTTTCGGATGTTGGTATATTGGGGTCTACATTGGGGTCCCCCTATTTAGGGAAAACTACCTACCCTTACATACTCCCCAAAGAATAGTAGCTTCCATTTTCTTTTCCATTATCCCTAAAACCCCTAAAAACTCCAATAGATATTATATATATATATACCTCATCACAAGAACCTCTAGAACCTATGATCCCATAAGAGCCCAGGGACCACGGCTTCCCGGGCCGCCTTCAAAGCCTCATCCGGCTTGACCTTCAGAAGCGGTGAAGGGTTCGCATGGGTATCTCCCCAAAATTCGGGTCCTATTTTGGTACCCCTTAAATGTTACCGCAATATAGTCTACAACCCAAGAGGGGCCATAATTTTGAGCACAGCCCACAGGACAATGCTAGCGATATCTCAATTGGAGGTTGTTCAATTGAGGAAAAGAGGACACGTGGGCTAAACAGTGCTCTGGACACACCCGGAATCATCAAAGTGTTTGTGCGGTTTAGGAATGCAGCTTTTTTGGGGTCAACCCGGGGCCCATCCCCTGGACAACTGCCAATACAGGGGATTTAAAGGAAGGGCCTACGGTCCCAACTGTGGAGCCCAGGGTTCTCAGCACGGCCCCTGCGCAAGAGCAAGAGGGGAACGTAATTGCAGACCATTCTCCTTGCGAACTCTATAGGAGCCTAGTTCCATTTGGATACGCTCTGGGGGTAACTCGGGAGCTTCTACAGTACATGCGCGATAATGGGTTCAGACTTTCAGGTCCGGCTCCTGGCATGCAGGGTGACGGGTCTAGAGCTGAAGCTTTATGACGTACTTGGTCTGTAGGTACACGAAACTGCGCAAGCAAGGCGAGCAATGCCTTAATGTAGGTCTCAAACACCTACGCCCTATGCCTCAGTCATCCTCAGAAGGTATTGCTCACCCCGGCAGCATACTCCACCCATATGCCATAACTTGGACAGCAAGTCAGGCTCCAAGCCGGTTTCTAAAATTTCTGTATCCAATGATCAATGCTTCATGTTGAGAAAACACCCCAAATGGAAGCCAGTGGCTGTGACCAGCAGGACATACGCTGTCTGATGCATCGCCATGCCTTGGAGAGGGTCTTGTTTTGGCTGTAGGCTTTAGGATCACTCTGGTAAGGGCATTATACGTGTTTGAGGAGTCGCTGATAGGGGTGTCACAGGGTGTGCAATTGTAATTCCAGTCTACCTTACTGCATAAGTGTGCCTCTGGAAGCTAGGGCTCAAAGTCCAAGACCTTTGCAAGGCTTGCGAGTCTCAAAATGTGTCTCTACTACTTGGAGGTTCCTGGGTCAAAAGAGATGGAGCCATAAGTGACCCACGCTTAGAAGTGCCTATGACCATGCAACAGCTGCTCTAGCAGCATCAACGCTTTACGTAAAGGCTTACAGCGCAGAGAAACGCCAACAGCGCTAACGATGGAGGCGTTATTATGGGTGCCAACTTGATGACGCACGAGAGCTTTGCATGATGGACCTCCAAGATGGCCAGAACTGGGAGTTTCTGAATTGTACCTATCCCTGGTGGCAATACCTCGTCGCGATAGGCTGTAGGACGAAATCAGCAACGGATGGATAATGTTGATATTACAGCTTTACATAGCCCTTAATTCAATCTTACCATTATTATAGGCTGTTACTGGTTGGGAGCAGGACCCAACCTAATTCAAGATGCCCATCAACTTTCCAGCGCCGATGGACTTGGCAACCTGCCGGGGAGGTGCACCGAGGCTCCTTTAATAATGGCCTTCATCCTGGGATTCCTGTGGGTTTTTAGATTTGGGCTCTAGGGTGGCAAAGGTTAAGGGATAGGGTTTAGGCTTCTTAAGAATTCCTGGGTTTCTTCTGGGGGTTCGCAGAATGTGCATGACATTAGCTTGGGAACATCTTGGAACCCTTTCTTTGGAGAGATGCCCATCCGAGGGTTCTGAAATGTTATAGGACCAAGAATTAGCCCATCCGGGCATCGGCCCTCCCAAAATGGTTCCCTTGGCCCCTGATTCCTGCACCCCGCAACTTCTCATAACCTGCGAACACAGAACTCCAAGAAGCTCTACATATTCCCAACCCCACATTCTAGCCGCAGTCTGCACATCCTCTACGCAACGCCAATTTCACACTCAAATCCGCCTTGAAAGCTTCACGGGCAGGCTTCAGGGACCGCTCGGAGCCCTTTGCCAGGGCCTTCGGATGGTCCTGGATCAGATTTAGCTTTCGGAAAGTCCCGTTGCAAGGACTACTAAGCCGTCAGGCCGTACAAACTTCACGAAACGTCTTGCAAGCCATAAGAGGCCTCCAAAAAAGGCACTTCCCAGGCTTTTCAGAACTCACGCTTGGGACATGTTTCTCTTAAGATGTAGGGTGCTTGAATTCCCAAACAGAATCCCTGCGTATACAACTGAAAATTAAGGTCGAGAGAGGCTCTTCAATTCTTTAGAAGGGCGTTCCCCAATGTAGAATTAATCGAATAAAAGGTACCCCTAACTTTGGGAAACTCCCAATATGACTGTGTTGTAATTTCTGTACCATACCACTAAGCCTCATAAACCGCTACATAATCCTAGTCTCCATGTCGCTTTCGATTTGCTTTTCCACCTGACTCTGCATTTTTGGGGCAATAAAATCCCTAAACCCTAGCCCCCAGACCCTAAACCCTAAGCCCTAAATACCTAAACCCTAATCATGTCTAGGGTCCTGGATGGCCAAGGCGATGCTGGCCTCTGAGACAAGGATCAAATTCTCAGCCAGCTGCTTTCGGTCCTTAGCACCAGCTTGAAGGTAGGGCTTAGGGATTAGGGTACAGGGTTTAGAATTCAGAGTTTAGGGTTCAAGGACCAGGGTTCAGGGTTTAGGGATCAGGGTTCAGGGCTTAGAGTTTCAGGGCCACAGGATTCAGGGTTTAGGGGAATCACTTTGTACTCCTCAATGCAAGGAGTATCTGAACAAGGAGGGCTCTACTGATGTTACAATCGCTTTAGGGAGAAGGGCTTATGGGGTGTATAGGGTTGTTCAGGGTTTAGGGTTGTTTAGGGTTTGGGGTTGCTTAGGGTGTAAGGCTTCGGGATTGGAGGTTTCTCAAAAAAAGGATTGGGGGATGAATGGAACTTAGCCGGGGTTGTATGAAGCTACATTGGTCCCCCTCGGAATATGCAGGGATCATTTTGAGAAACTCCCTAAACCCTAAAAACCCTATGAGATAAGAGTTTCCATCAATACAACACGACTTGTGCTGAATGAAGGCCTAGTGCTTCTCATTATTCCTGCTTGGAGGGCCAGGGGGACCTTCCATATGGGTTTGTCTGGCAATGCGGTACAGTTTTCACGTTGTCAAGTTTTTTTGCTTCTTGATTTCTGGACTGCTCGCAATGGCCCTGAGAATGGTAACTGCCCCCCACCCACCAATCTATTGGTGGGTGTATTGAATGGAGGTTCGAATGTTGAGTTGTTGCGGGGAAAGGTTTGTAAACGCATCTCGGCACAAACGAGATTCGCCGGACCATCACTCTTTAGATTTAGAAATCAGAATCAAGGGATTGTGCTTAGAGCATGGCGCAACTTCTTAGAGGTAAGTCCCACTATAAGGTTCTTACAAAGGGTGAACAATGATCTTAGCCTGCTTGCTAACAGGTGGGACTTCAGCAATGCAAATTCCGAAGTAATAGGGCCGCTTACTAGCCAGCTTTCCTGAGCCCAAATATTCCTCATCCAGCTTCAGATGGCGTTATCAGAAAATCATGTTACTTGGTGGAATGTCTGCATCTCCTTCCAGAAGCCTTGCTGCAGCAAGAGAAGTACTGGATTCCATGAAGAATCTGTTGCCGCGCAGCTTTGGGGATATTCTGGGTTGCTGTTAAGGAACTAGAATTAAGTTACCATAAGATGGGTATATAGTAATTAACAGGGCTTCCCTATTCTAGTAACTTAATTTAAGTTCCTTAGTAGCAGCCCAGTCTTTTGCAAATTCGCAACTGTAGGCATGATGACATCTTTGGGCAACACGGAGCACAGGCATCACACCCTTGCTGCTTTGAAGTGACAGCATATGTACAGGTTCTTGTCTAAAAAGCAAAAAAACTTACGTGCTGCGCTGCTTTTGCTGCTGAATTGAGAAGACTTCAAAGTTATAAAGTGAGCAGCGAATCCCTCACAAGACTGCTGCCCAAGAATTATCTTACCTGTCAGTGGTCCAGTCCCTGTGCTCAGAAGCCTAAACCGACTGAGGCGCATGGACCCTCTTGCACATCTGCCTCGAAGCTTGCAGCGTTGCTCTGCTTACTGGTGAAACAAGCAGGGAAAGAAAGAATGGAGAAGACAATGGGAAGCACTACAGGGTTTACAGTGGTCAGTGACCAATGAAGGAAAATTGTCTAGGACTGTAGGAAGAGTTTCAGCTTGGAGTGCTACAGGGATGCACTCCTCTAGTCCCTACTGACCAGAAGTACAGTTTGAGTGGGGGCGGGATAGTTGCAAGGTGTCCCTATCTTGGTTCCAGGTGCCTCAGGTAATATTGTTAGGCCAGCCTACGACTTGAAGACAATGTGGTGGCTTTTCAAACTTGCAAATCCCTTCGGTGGCCGTCTTTAACGGGGGTTGTAGTACTTCAGGATATATGACGGGGGGCCCTTCTTGGGTTGAAGTACTTTGGTGGCAAATGAGGGGGCTCGACCACAAACAATTCAAAAGGCATGGGTCCATGGAGTTGAACTCCGCTTGGGCTCAATCAAAAAGAATAGAGAACCCAGAAAGTGGTTGATGTTGATGGCTAATTTACTTCTTCTCTATGAGAGCGGAAGACTTTTGCAGAACACCGAGGCTTGAACAAAGAAAAACATCTCTAAGACTTCAAAGTATGAGTTTCAGACTGCTTTACGGGCTCAACTTCCAACTTCCACAGGAACTGAACCACAGGTCTGACAGCTGCAGTGCTACAACAAATCTTCAGGACGACCCCGAAATTCAGGCCAAGATGGAGATGGTCTTTGCAAAGTGCAGCGCGGGATCTGTTGGTTACTTGGTGCTTGGATCTAAGCAGTTGTGACCAGGTCAAAAAGCCGTGCCGCGCGTGAATGTGCTGGAGGTTCTGATTGTAACGCCTTTACAACGTCCTGATGCTCCTTCTGCAATTACTTGTACAGGCCACGCAAACCTTGACCTCTGTGCACACCCCGCCGTCCCTGTGAAGAGCGCTTTCCCTACCTGTCCAAGTACCCCATGATCATATACTTCCGCAAAACTATACGGCCGTTGCCATTGCCAGATTACAAGTAAGTACTCAACTACAGTACTGGGTACCGAGCCCTCTGCGGGCAATGCAATGTGCAGCCAAGAGACACAGCGTCGTTGGCTGCTCGGAGGGACTCACCCGGCATCTCAGACGCAAGGTAGATGTTGGAGAGCACGCGGATGGCAGTCACCTGCGGGATATCTGCAACTGTTCAACCCTAGACCGAAACCCTCAATCATAAGGAGTTGAAAGAGCCGGCTGCACAAAATCGCCCAATTAGGCTCCGTAGCTTTCAGAAAAAGAACTGTTTCTTCAGATTCAAGAGGTTGCGTTTCTTGAGGCTTGAGGGCTGCCAAGGGGATCACGTCATGAGTCATGACATGTCTGAAAAACCAGTGAAGTCACAGGTTCCCAAACACATGATTTAAGAGTCTACCACTTCTGTTTTTGACCAGTATGTGAACCTAAGCGGTTTTAGAGTCTAAGATTTTTGTCTGACTTTTGACTTGTATAGAAACTTGTCAGGGTAAACTGTTCCGAGCACTGCCCTCGCTCCTGAGCAGCTGCAGTACGTCGGTCATGATGAAATGGAAGGACTACTAAGTTTAGGGTTTAGGGCGAGGAGCTGCCAATGGACCGACCATCTACATAACTACAAGTACGTCGAAAGTAGTGTACGGAGCCATGCCTTGCAAAACTAGCCTCATGGAGCCCAAACCCTCACGTCCTGTACACCTGAATCCTGAAAGCGTAGGCCGTTCCCGGGGAGCCCAATATTTTCCTAATTACGAAATATTCCTTAAATCATTTTAGGGGTCTGAATATTAACCCTAAACCCTAAACCTCACAGGCCTCGGCTTTCTTGTCGCCTGGTCCAGGGCATGGCACTTTGCTATTTGGGGGCTTTTCCCCAAATTAGGGGTACCCTTTTTGGGGATACCTACAGTAGGGATTATAATATTTTGGGGTTTACAGTAGGGTCCCCTTACTTTGGGAAACTACGATTTGAGGTCTCCGGATCCTAGCTACAGGTCTTGGTTTCACATTTTCTGTCATCTCGAAGCCAACTCCTTTTTCTAGCTACTCGAGGAGTAGCAGAGTCTGCGAAGCCCTTTAGCTCTAAAAAATCTGTTCCGCGGGCACAAAAGAAGATAGGGCAGAAGTATCTTGCTGTTAGCCTTTCCCAATTTCCCAATGACAAATCACAGAAAGATGCCAGCATCTTGGAGGTGTATGGAGGTTTGCATAATTGAAATGCAAGTCACAGATTGGAAGAAACAAATGAAGCTGCGCTATTCTCACCTCAGAATGCTGCCAGCTTTAGATAGGGGTCCTGAACCCTTTTAATCCATTGACGGCGCTGGCTCCGCAGCTTAATCAATCGCTTGACAAATATGGATCGCAACAAGCACTCTGAACGGTACCGCCTACTTCAAGCAACAATGCTCCCAAGGTCCCAATCGCCAAGACAGAACCAGACCCCCAATGTTGATCATAATCGCATGGGATTGCATGAAACAAATCATTCCTTTAAGCTTGATGCTGATGATTGTTCTTTTTATCGCTATTCTTATTGTATCGGTGTGGGACCTAATGGTTTGTTAATGCTGCTTTCTCCCCTCGCTTCTTTCCAAGTAAAGCCTACATGTTGTGTTCTCTTCTGCGGCATGCCAAGACATAATTCCAAGCCCGGGGTTAGCACACGACCCCACATGCGGCTTCCAATGATACACGACGCCTGGAACCCTAGGGTAGTTTGGGCGATAATCTAAACTCCTAGTATCCCCTTCAACAACCCCTATAATAGTCCCTTGTATAAACCCCATTCTAGGAGTGTAGACTTTTGCTAATTTGGGATTATGCAGGGCCCCTTTAGGAGAACGTAATAGAGAACCCTCGGAGAAACTCACACACCACTAGATCGGCAGCACCTTCCAGACTTTAGCCCTCGTAAATGATAAAACAGCCAGGCCCCCTAGATGTAATCAACTGCCAGTTCCTGGGCTTCACGGACTCAAATCCTTTTGCAGCTGGAGCTGTGCTGCAGCTAGGCAAGCTATTGTAGGACCCTGATTAATAAACCCCCTCCCCTTAAAAGGAATTGTAAGAGGGATCCTAATAATATTAAGGCCCTTAAAAGGGGTTTATAAATCACGGGTCTACATTAGGCCTATCACGACAACCAAAAAACATCCCCCAAAGACCCTACCCTGAACATTGTTAATGAAGTGCTCACTCAAAGAGCTCCAGCAATCCAACCATTCTCCATGATCCTTTGCATTTGATCCTCGATGTTTGGAAATATTCCCACACCCTAAGCCCTCAATCCTAAACCCTATAGTTTCACTAATAAACACCAAAGATCTATACAACTCTAGATATAATCCCAACGTAAATACGCCAGGCGTGTCCCCCAAAACCTCTTTCTACCCCAGACCTTACACCTGAAACCCTAAATGGTAGCTTTCGCTTGGTCTTTCCTACATTCCCTACTGACGACCAGCACAATAATCCTAAACCCGCAACCCCATGCATCCCTATGAGCCTTTGATTCTCTGCAACATCTCTCCCATTCCCCAGTCCCTATATGTACCCCTAGGAGTACACCTATACTATCCCTTTGTTAACCCTGCACTATCTACATGTAATCCCTATGTGACTTCTCCTGCAGCACATCCAGGAAGCCCTCAACCTTAACCCTGAAAATCGGTGCCATGTTTTCCAATCCCCCCCCCCTTGAAGCCTTTCTGAACGCTCTAAACCCTAAAGCCGAAATGCCCCCATATAATCCCTCCCTAAACCCTAAACCCTAAAGCCCGAACCCTTTATATATATATATGTATATATGTATATTCATAAAAACACTCATGTCCATAGATATATACCATATGCACACACATACTCTATGCCCTCTCCATTTTACCCCTGCGCCTGTCTCCTGCAGCTTCGCTCGCATCTCCTTGCACATGGCCACGGACTGCTCCACCTTTAAGCGACGGGAAGGACCATCAAAGCCTCACCCCCTAATATGAAGTTTAGGGTTTATATGTCTTAGGGTTCATCACTATGAAGCGAAGCCCCACCCCCTAATATTAAGTTTAGGGTTTCAGGTTCCAATTTAGGTTTTCGGGCTGACTATCAAGACACCATCCTCGAATTTCTAATTGTATCACAAGATGCCACAGGGGGGCTAGTTCATCTTTGGGGGGAATGTTTGATGTTGGGCAGATGGGGCTGTAGAGGCAAGTGGTTGAAGGGGATTGCGACATGTTGAAAAATTTAAGAGGTTGCACCTTGGACAGGGATAGCTGGGAATATGAATGGTAGGGACTGTCAGGGAAATCAAGTTTCTCGAAATTAATGTTTAGTGCTGGCCATTACTACGAGTATAGCGAGAAGTGTTCAAGGTGACTCTACGACTGAAAAACACCTGCAACTTGCTCGCAGAAATCAGTTCTGCAGTCACTCCATGGGAGGTCATGACCTCCGTCTCTGGTGGTGCTGATACACCCCTCAATATCATTGTTGCGGTTCGACTTCTTCATGCTCATGACTGTGGATGATTATCTACGGAAGTTCAAGATCTCAGGGGCCAAGGATACAGGGGTCTTCTGCCAGGCTGACCGGCAGCAAATGCTTGACTTCTCCTCGCATTTGACATCTAATCTGTGCGCTATTTTGGAACATATGGTCTAATTTCATGGCATGTCTCAAACCCCTCGTGGATGACTACTCTGGTGAAAACACTTTTCGTAACTGAACACCCCACAATACACCTCGAAAGCAAGCCCGTCTGAAAAAAACTCCAAACGCGCAGTGCTGGTAGTGCAGCTACTAGGCTGTTGGGTTTCTGCCTGCCAGTTCATTGTGGGCCCATTGCTTGTGTCGCAAGAGGAAACTCCTTTCCAACCACTGCGCTGAGGGGTTGCTGTATGCACACCCTGTCTATGTGACTCGTACTTGCTGTGTACCCTCCCCCAAGCTAACATGGAACCATATTCCCCCCTGTTCCAAGGGGTTTGTTCTACTTTCGGGGTTTCATATTAGGTTTTGGGGAGTGTGGGCCGTGCCATCCTCCTGCCAGCACCACCCGTACAAGATGTTGGCTGCGCGCAAGGGATAACTATCTGGGATCGGTTGTAGGATTTAAAACTTAAGTTTCTCCAGCGGGGCACCGCCGATGTTCCTAACGAACCCTGTGCACATTCCACTGTATACACTCACACAATATACACTCACCAAGACGCAGAACAAATTCCCACTTCATATCCACACAGTGGGCTGAGAGGGTCTGGCAACCTGCAGCACAAAACCAGTGACCCTAACACTCTTTTGAAAGGACCAAACTCAAACTCTCCAACTCCAAATGCCTCCCGCAGATCGCAGTAGATGTCGGCAAGCACATTCAGAGCTCGGGCCTAGGCCGTCCGTTGTTCATGTTTAGGGTGCACGGTGTGGGCTTTAGAAAGAGTCTTGGTTTAAAGCGGGCATCTTGGGAGGTACGTTTGGAGGGGGGGGAAGTATTGCTCTCAGCAGCATATGAAGAATCGGCACCCCCCCCCTATCTAAAAATTTCTGTTCCGAAATAATGCAGCAGGCTAGTCCGCCCGAACACAGTTCTCACATGCCTAGCATCGCGCATGTCGTTGTATTGCCTAGGGAGCTCAACAACCCATATTTGGCCTGGACAATGCCTCTGAAAGTGCTGCATAGGCATTCCTCAGCAAACCCACGTCTTAGAAGCCAGTGGAAAAACAACAGGCACCACCACAAGTGTACATGCAGGGATTTGGGCACTCCACTCTGAAACAACAAACACTCAAGATGAAAACGCCACATTCCGAAAGCCCTGTGTTCTCCCATGAAAGAATACCAGAAAACAAGAGCGGGTAATACAATGATACTGATCGTGATTAGTGATTAGAAGACAAACGACAAATGCTACCCATCCAAAAGTTCTCTTCATGATAACGAAGAAAATACTGGTCATACAACTTTTATTATTACTACTGCTACTGCTACTGCTAGCAGACTCCGCCAGCTAAAAGCTCGCTCAGCGACCTCTCCAGAGCGGTCCTTCTTCTCCTGGAAGAGTTCCTGTGCCTCCTGCCCGAAGAAATGAAAGATGAAGTTGCTTAATGGGGGTTGGTAAGGACTATGGGAATATAGTATAATTATAGGGGTTATATATGGATTGTATTCCTGTCTTCCCTACTAGGGCCACCAGTAAGGGGGGGGTTCTCAAAATAAGGTAGGGCTTAGGATTCTCTTTAATTAGCGGCTTCCAAAATTCGGGGCTCAGCGAGCGGCCCCGAATTCTCAGAAACTCACACATGGGTAGTAAGGAAGACGCCCCGAAGCTCTGCAGCTGAAAGCCTGCTACACGCTACCCCTGAACCATACACCTTGCAGGACAGAAGACCTGATGCCCACACCCGTCTGAATCAGCAATTGTTTGGGCCCAAAGTTCAACACCACATTAGCCCAAGGAAGAAAATTAATTCTTCTAGTGTTTATATGAGGAAACAGCTCAGCAAACCTAGACCATTGAAGGTGCAAACACTCAGTCATAAGGACCAACTCACCACCATCCGGGAATTAAATGACATCATGGTTTACGGTTCAGGGACCCCATTACACCTAAGTAGAACAGTACAACCCATACATAACGCCTATTGTCACCCCTTTCATTTAGAAATCCCAAGAGCCTTGGCGACCCGCAGGGCATCGTCCATGCGGCCCTCAGTGCCGTGGATGGTGGCCACGGTGAGCAGGCAAGATGCTTCCTGCCGGGGATACTTTCGGGGCACATAGGGTTATACAGGAGCATGTAGGGTCACATAGGGATTTTCTAGGGGTATATAGGGGAATGGAGAATGGAAACTAAAATGGATAATCAAATGAAAAAGAAATTGGAAACTGGTAACATGTATTGATTTGCAGGGAGTGGGCTTTCCTAGAAAGAGGAGTACTTCTTTGGGGGGGTCCACATCACAAGGATCATATTATCTTGTGGAATTCCTATTGTGGGAAACTACTCCGTAGGGATTCTACAGGGCTGACATAGGGGAGTGAGGTCTTTGAGGCAAAGGAAAGGTTTGTATCCTTCACAAATTTAATCTGCCGTGTAGGGCGAAGAAGGCCTGTTGTGGCTACATGCGGATACATAGTGGAAGTAGATAAGGCGAATTGAACATGGAACCCCACATGCCTACGCAACAGTAGCGCTCAATGGTTGCGATTCCATGTTAGCTAGGAATCTGCTGTGGGGTGGGACGATGTCGGGACAAGTGCCGGTTTCCAAAGAGGTACCAACATTGCCTGTAGAGGGCTTTAGGGGCTGGTTTGGATAGCTAATGTTCTCAGATTACTGGGTTTGCGACTCCTGGGTTACGGGTGAACTACAAGGATGGCTGTCAAGGACTTTAAGATTCTAAAAGGCTCTGTCTGCAGGAGATATACCGAGGGCACTGCCAGTCGCACTGGGAAAAAGCCAAATCTAGAGCCCGGCATCAAAAAACTCAAGTCCTTGCCCACCTGCCATCACCCCTAAGCTGTGAACCTCAAACCTCGAACACCTCAACTCGCTGAAACTTCCAAGAGATTTTGCCCATTGGAGCTTGTACAGTCTAAACTCCTAGTACCCCCCTTAATACCCTATAAGACGCTTCGTTATAATCCCCTATATAACCCCCCTTTTACGAGTTTAGACTATAGCTCACTTGGGTAAGCCACAACCCTAAAACGTTGCGCGCCTTGCTCTTGTCCCCAGACTCGGCAAACATGGCCGCTTGCTCCTGTGCGGTCTGCGTCGCCTTAGCAAGAACTTCTCTTAGGGTACTCAAGGCCTACCCTACCTAGGGTTTAGGGTTTGGGGGGTTAATTTAGGGTTTCAGGTTCAAGGTGTAGGCCTCAGTTAAATGGGCTGCGCTGGTGATTCACCTGCTTGGGAGCTCCATCCTAGTTTGGGCTACTGTGGCGGACTCAACCTTTCCGCTTCTGTCTAAGCTGGGCACTGCGCAGAGTTGTTGAGGAACGTGATTGCATGCAAACTTGGCACGAATACTGTCCCGGTATTAACGGGACTCCTAGGTTTCGGCACCCTACGATACTGGCGGTGTATAGGGTTCCAGGTGAAGGACATACCGGCCAAAGCCCAGAGGTTTCGTTGAGAGCGAGTCATCGCCTGCATAGTGAGGCTAACGGTTTAGGTTCTAGGGTTTTCGGGCAGGGGCTTAGTATTTCCCGACCCCCAATATCAGAACCCTTCATGCACTACCACCATATGAACTGTGACATCAAGGACAGCCCAAAGTGGGTAATTACAAGGTGGGTACCCATAACAATGTAAGGCTCGTATAAGGGTAATCGGGCAGTGTGAAGTCTGTATGTAGCTCGGTTTAAAGGTACCCACCTGGTAAGTACCCACCTTCACCTGGCATGTTTCCGTCTTGTCAACATGAGCATCACGGCATCACGCTTAGTGCGATGAGCTCTGTAAGTGACCCTTATGATGGATCTCTGCTGGGGCCTCGGCAATTCCCTGGTTAACCCATTCTGTCCAAGGCTGTGGGAGCCTGTAAGGCCCTTCTGAACCCCGAAACCCCGAACACTCGAAACTCCGAAGCCCTCACGCACTAAACCCGCAAGCACAAACACCCAATAGCCCACTAATGCGAAATCGCCTTGTCGTAGTCATTTTTCGCGATGGCGACCTGCGTGATGAAGTTCATCGCCAAAGCCTGGGTCAGGGCAAGGAATCTTTTCAGCAGGCACGCAGAAGGGTAACAAAGCATAACAGTACTCTCGACAATGGTATTTTGGTAAAAGAACTCTGACATTTCTTGACCTGTAATGCCAGTAGGGGTGAAAGACATCATCAACAGATGCCTCTAGCAACACCAGCACTAGCTCTTTGAGCCTATTTGTGCAGGGATCACATACAGTTGTAGAACAGGTACGGACTGGAAACTCCGGTGCAATCATGGCCCCATAGCTTCTCAAGAAACAGGGCTTCGTGGGAGGCAGTCGTCTTACAAGTGCCTGACAAGCTCCATGAGGATCCGTAGGTGCAACCTTTGGATGTCGGCCATCCTGTTGCCCTGTTGCCCGAACAAGCGAACATCAAGCCCGGACACCTCTGCCCCTAAACCCTAGCGAGTAAGTGGTGTGTCCCAGAATTGTGAGTCCATTTGGGGGGGGGCCATAATAAGGATCGTAATATGAATGGGTCTATATTGGTGTCCCCCTATTTGGGGACACTATCAAATCTCAAATTCTGAGCTATCACTTGAGCTGCCGGCCAACAAAGACCATGGCCAGGATTGCCGCCCGAGACTGAATTCTTCTGAGTTGCTGTTAAGGAATTTAAAGTGAGTTGCTATAGAAAGGGTATATACGGTACATAGGGTTTAGGGTGTAGAGTTGACATAATAAGGAAACCCTATTATCTACCATATACCTATAAGATGGTAACTTAATTCAAGCTCCTTAACAGCAATCGAGTATTGTCCCGCCACTTCGCGAGAAACACTTCAAACAGACCCTAAACTCTATACCCTACTTGAGCAGCCTAGTTGGCTGCTCTATCCCACAGAAGTAGGAAACATCGAGCAGACTGTGATTTTGGGCTATTGGCTTTCCAGGTAAATCGCCCCAACCAAAACATGAGCTGGACACCTCGCTGTGCTTGTCCTTCAGGTCCTGAGAAAAAACAGAATCTCGTCTGGGGACACTTTCAGTAGCGCCTACATAGGGAGCTTCGAGAAAGTGGGGAGTTTAGGTTTAAAGAAAAAAGTATGGAAGGAGTACGCAAGGGCTATATAGGGACAGGGGATGCTCTGCGGGAAATACATCAGACCCTAGGGTTGGGGCACATCTCCGTATGCCTGGGAATTTGAAACAAAAACCTGAGGCAGTCATCGGGCTGATGGCCTCTCACCCCTGATTAAGCACCATGGAAACTGCAAATAATATACGCAGTTATTGTTTGTTGAAGCTTGGGCTAAAAGACTTTTAATTGAAAGCCTGCGTGGTTACTATCGTGAACTACGAAGGCTTGCAACTCGGAGCCTTGATTTTGCTAAACCTCAGCCCGCTAGCCTTCATCATCAACACCCCTGTCCCTTGCGCATCCACAAAGCCACATCCAATTGCAGCTCAAACCAACGGGTCCTGGTAGATTTGCATCGCCTCCTCGGCTGCAAAAACGGCCTCCGCATAGGATTCGCGCAGCCTCAATGATGATCTGTTTTTACACGGTCGGGGGGTGGCTTTTTTGTCAACATTCCCTGCGCAAAAACTGAAATCCGACACAAAGCAAGCGCTGCCCGGAGAAGCCCTGAACACTGCACCAGGCGGGGATGAACAAAAGGTTGTGCAACAACGCTGCCGCCTGCTAAGCCCCAACAGAACAGAATCGTTGTCCTTATGGTATGCCAAAATGCTTTCAGGAATTTGACCGCCCTGGGCCGGAAGGCCTCCTGGAGTTCCCTCTGACCAAAAACTCCAGTTGCAACCCGGTTAGAACCTAAGCTCCTTTGGTCACTTTCAATGAAGTGCACCGGGGCGTCGCGATGTGTCTGCTCCACTGCAATGTCTGCTACAAAAAACAATCCTCTGATGATTCAGTCATCACCTTGGTACCCTACATGTGTTACATGGACATGCAGTACACATGTCTTGTGTGATATGTGGATAGAGTGAACTGTTCGCTTATACGGCTAATGAGCGTCTAGAAGTGTGCTCGGGATTGGGTAGTTCCCAGAAAAAGGGTGACCCCAATATACTATAGTCCTTGTTATAGACCCCCAAAATGGTACCCCTAATTATGGGAAACCCATGTCTCAAAAGGATGAAACTCTTGTTTCGCATGGGCTCTGCGGGCAAAGTCCTTTGACATGCCCACTGGGATGCTGATTACTTGCAAGGTCAGGGGACGTAGTAGGTAGCTGAATATTTCTGCTAACTAGGAATGCTATTTGGTTTATGGGTGCCATTAGCCTACTTACTAAGTCCCCCTACCCTCCAAGTACGATGGGGAATTAGGTGCGTTGCTTGGTGCTGATGCCTCCAGGCGTGTTGAAGCAAGCTTGAGTGAAGGAATTGTGTTACCACCCAAACGATGGAAGTTTCAAAAGAAAACCCTAGATAATCCTCAAAGGGATCCCCCCTATTCCCTTATGTATTCCCTTGATAGCTCCGATACATCCTAGGGGCCTCAACTGTGTGCTAGTTGACAAAAATACACATCTCAAATTCATTGAGTCTTCTTAATTATTCTGAGCTGGGTTGCATGTGGACTGACGCCAGCTGGTGTAGGATGCTAGCTTCCCACCTGTGAAGGGGCAGGATTTCATGAAGTAGGGAAGAGGAAGCGTAAAGACAAGCCAAGGAGAAGGCATTGGGGAAAAAGGCACCGATACTAAGTCCTCAGTCCATTCGGGCTCTAGGTTTCCGATGCAGCGTTGCCAGTCCTCCTGCACTGCTTGCTGTCATAAAAGCACTAGGACTGTTTTGTAGCCCGTGGTATGCTGCGGTTACACCATATCGCAAAAGGCCACTGCCTGTCCTTGGACTGAAAACAAACTGAAATAAGATATGGTAGTTTCCATCAACAGGGGGACCGAATTTCAGATTCTCAAATACTGTAGCCCTTACTATAGGGATGCCCCAAAAAAGTACCCTGGATTTTTGGAAGCCTACTCTTTATACACCACTACATAACCCAGCCTCCATTTCATTGTCCGTTCTCTTTTCAATGTGGCGTGTTCTTCATTCGGGCAATATTCTCCAACCCTAAACCCTAAATAGTGTCTACTTTCTTTTCCCTTATTCCTATATAATCCCTACACAACCCTGAACCCCAGGATCTCTTCAAGTTCCTGCCTGGTATCGTCAAGAGATTGGATGATCTCTCGGGACTGCTCTATCAGAGGGACGGCGGCCTCGTAGTCGCCTGTGTTTACACGGGGGTTGTAGGGGGGCTTAGGGGACTTAGGGGAGGTTAAGGGGCTTTTGTACAGAATTCAAGTGGATTTAGGGGCTGTAAGGATATGCAAAGGTGATTAGGGTGGTCAGACTTCGAGGGCTGCAAGTTCAGCACTGACCCCACCGAAGTCATCAGGTGCGGGAGAACAACTGTAAGTGGAAGTGTTACGCACGTTGAAAGAACACCATCGCGGAGTGTGTAAAACCAGCAACCCTAAACCGCAATCATTCTGGTAAAGCTTTTCGTCGGCTGCTGAAGGGTTTTTGAGCAAATGGTTGAAGACCCGCTTGCTGTCTGATCCCAGCAGAATGAGAAGTTGGCCCCTCTCAAACCAAACTGCAGAGCCTCTAAAACCAAGGGAGCTGCAAAGACGCTGCATATTTGATTCTTCTGCCCCACGATGCTCAGGGGCGTGGCAAGAAATAAAAGAGAGCGCCATGTCATTGGGATTATCAGAACTAGGATCTATTTAGGGACTAGTACAGGGATCCATTGCCCCATTTCCGATATACCACCATCGAGTTCAAACGGGCTTTGTTCAAGCCAAGTAGCCCTTGGCACAGTGCGAGTTTGCAAGCGTGCTGAGGGACATGATTTGTCCTGCGCGAGTGAGGAATCGATAGAGGCAGTGGGCATGGGAGTTGTTCAGCGATTTAGGGTGTACAGCCCAAGGTAGAGGGAAGACAGGCCCGAACCAAGGAGCCTACCTTCTACAAACTGCGAAAAACACACACCATTGGCTCAATGGCTCTAATAGATGTACCAGGCAGGTAGCTCTTTCAGGCTTTCAGGTTTTCACTAACCGATAAGCAACCTGAAGCAATCGGGCCGACCCAAAACTAAACCCCAAACCCCAACTCTAAGACCACCCGCAGCACGAGTCCTCGCTTGTCGCTCTTGCGCTCAAAGTATTCCACAGCCTGCTCGGAAAGCTTCCCAGAGAGCCCAATATGGCTTAATTAAGGAATATACCCTTTGAGGTTTGTTTTAGGGCTATATTGGGGTTAAAACGGAGAAGAAAATGAACTATAGGGGATGTAGGGTACATATTGGGGTAATATGAGATCCCTAATATGATTTAAGGGATATTCCTGAATTAAGGGGTATTGGGCTCCCTGGGTTGGAAAGGACTGCTTAATTTTGGACAACCCGGTTTCAACCTCTGGTTTAGGCGCACTCCGTGGTGGGACTGTTTCGGGTTTAGGTTGAAGGCTTCGCCGCTCATGTATCCGGGCCGGTTTAAGCTTTAGGGCTTATGCGTCTAGGGAATGAAAGCAGCTGAAGCTAATGTGGAGGGGCGCATTTGGAGGGCTGGGGTACAACAGGGGCCGAAATAATTACCAATATCATTTTGAGGTCCTCTTGAAGTACCATATACTATAGTTATATAAGGAATATGGAACCATAATATTGGCAATTATTTAGGCCCCTTTATTTTGGGTTCTGCCTCCACAGACTACTCGCCGCGTACATGGGGCTAATGCTTAACCACAATATACTTGCTACCCAACTGTTGGTGAGTAGGGGCGGCCCCAACGTGGCTAGGCACAAGCAGCTCCTGATTGGCTGGTAGTCGACAGGAATATTTCTGCCAGTAGATGACATGCGGGGGTGGTTTCCATGACTCTGTTGAAATAGCATGGGGCAGGCAGCAATCAGATGTCATGTTTCCGCTATATCGTGCCGAATGTTTATTGATTGAAGAATACAATGTACTATCTGCGCGCAGTGCTTTTAGGCGCCAAAGGAAGCCCTGAAAATGCTTCAAATTAGCATAGCACATACATAAGAAGCTTGTGGTGTGGCTTGCATGCATTGTCAGGAACATGCTTGTTTGACGAGACAAAGAAAGTCCCGGAAAAAATTGTCACCTCAAATTGGCCCTGTGACACCCTTTCGCACAACAAAACTTCTCAACTCTTCTTCGTATGCTTTCAGAATGGACTTTTCCAAAACTGCAGCACTTGCCATGTCCAGCCATATGGAAGTTGGTCAGTATTGATGTCAAAGAAAACCATCACAAGCTGAAGGATCCTCATTTCAGGGGGTTGGATTTTACTACAAGCGTCTGATAACTATCACATGACTATGCGCGGCTCCCATTTGGGGATTAGGTGGCCAAAATCCCCCGCTTTCAAAATCATCGCACCCCAGGGGAATATCGCTACAAGAAGTTAAAAGGTATGCCAAAGTTCTCCTTGTATCCTCCTTTTGGGGCCCTCTGAGTCTAAGGTTAAGGCTAAGGGGTATGGGTTTGCGGAAAGCCGAATAGTCCTTACGTCCAACACCCCAGCTTCAATTTCATTAGCCATTCTTCCATCTGATTCTCCATTGGGGTAGCATCACTATGATCCCCAAATCCTAAGCCCCGCACCCTAAACCGTGCTAACCCTAAACCCTAAGCCCTAAACCCTAAACATCCCTAAACCGTAAATCTGGGCCCAAGCGCGTTATCAGTCTCAAGCCGCCTGAACACTAAATCCTGGTCCAGACACAAACCGTTTAGGGTTTTAGGGTTTTGGGGTTTAGGGTTTAGGGTTTAGGGTAAGGGAGGGGGATGCTCGGGTTTTGGGGGAACCTTTGGGACTACCTTCTTGGGATCCAGACAATGATGATTCTACTTATACTGCTAGGTGGGTACATAAGACGGAGACCCTGATTCTTGGAAACTCCCATATGAGACTGTGCATAGGCGTGCCCCTTGACATCCAACAGGCTGCCTAGTACAAGGACCTCCTGGACTTAGCATCTTCGGGGCCACCCTCTTCTTCTTGGACCGCTACTTAAGCCTCAAACTCCTGAGGCCCCCCCAAGCCGCGTACTCAAATCCACCAAGCCCGGAGAACACAAGTCTCGACAAACGTGCAGCCCCTGCTGCCGCCTCCTCGGAAATTATCATGGCCTTCTTTGCGTCACCCTGCGAAAGCGGTTTCTGACGTAATATGGTTAGCTTGATGCAAGCTAGGCGTGTAATTTGTCTTCATGAAGTTAAAAGACTATCTAAGATTATCTGGCTATAACTCGAGATTCTCTCTTTCCATACCTAGATCTAGACTTGAAGCCATCTACAGCTGTGTAGCTCTCAGGTGGGCAGCCTCCATATTATCCACACAGCTTAAGGATTTAGAGTTTAGGGATCCCAATAAGACCTGGAATCTGCCACGTGAAATGGGCTGCTGTTGATACAAGGAAATCTGTAATTTCCCTGCGTGCCCTACACTTTGAGAATCCGAGGAGTTCAGACTGAACAAGAAGCTTAGCAGAAACTGTCATACCGAATCTGGGGCTGCCAAGCAGGCCTGTATCCTGCTGCCTCTGCAGCCCCTCAGTCCACCAAATCAAGATCGTTTGGCTTGCAACATCTCAGTTCTACAACATTCTTCTTTTGGAAGGCTGCCCGTTCGGAGCACTGAAGACCTTCGATGTGTTCGGCGTATGATACGAACGGGGAAACCTCTCCTTCGGAATTCATTTTCGTACTGTTAAGTTTGACCTTCCCAAGCAAACAGCATTGGAGCAGCCCCAGCACGTGATCATAATCCTGCAATGCTACCTACTTGAGGACGCCAAACCCACATCATGTTGGTGCTGATTGATCTGAAAGTTCTTTGTGAATTTACTTATGGCTTCTGTAGGTGCAGAAGGGAAGGTCTATAGGAAGATTCTTCCATAACAGTCACTATGGGAACAAGCATTTTGAACAAGTACCATGCGGCTACTCCCCGGTGCCTTCGCAATAAATGCCTGTGTGAGGCAGTCGAAGGCGTTGGAGGTCCAACCCGAGCCATCGAAGTCTACCTCTTTGAACAACTCCAGGGCATCCTGCGGGGAAATTCACACATGCCCAACGGCCATGGATTTAAGGTTTAGGACTTTAACTGTCCATTCCGACGGATCATTTCAGAACCTGAACTGAGGCAACTGAGGACGATTATCTTCTGTATATTCTACTATTTTAAGGTGAGGTCGAGTGAGCTCGTTATACTTTGGCCGACTTTACTGGGGTGTACAGGATTCAGCTAAAGATTCGATATTCTTATGAACCGCTGTCTGGCATCTGACTTCGCAAGTGAGCTTTCATGACAGTTCCTCATACGTTTTTTTCAGGGTTTGGGACAGTGGAGGATTAACCGTTCGCACTAATAATTCTGTGTGCTCGCCTCAGCATAGGGAATCGCTTCTCGGCCCATCTTTCGCGTCAAGTAGTAGTGAGCGATGATGAAAAGCTCGAAGGCCTGCCCAGTGAACAGAACAGCTTGGCATGCTCTGCACCCAGTAAAAGGATGGGGGCTATGAGGATACTAACCGAAGAAAGGAGAATCAAATGCAAAAGCGATGGATATTTGATCATCGCCAGGTGGGTACCCTTAAGGGAGGCCTATATTGACCTCATATAGCCCCAACACCCTCATAGAAGTCTGATACGAGCCTTATATGGGGCTACCCACCTATACCTACCCACCTACGGGGTGTCCTCGCTCAGTTGGACACTGCCCGCACCCCGTACCAGCCCATAAAAGGGGTAATATTGAGAGCAGGATTTATTGTCTTATCACTATCCAACGTTACTGAGTGGGGCAGCATCCAAAAGATGACTCATGAATCTGGTGGTGATGACACTTGTGAAAAGTTCATGGCGCTGTGATGCATTATGGCGTGCGATGTTGCAATATGATGTACTGTATTGTACTGTATTGCATTACATTCAGCCATGGCATGTTAATGACTAAACAGGGCCACTGAATTGCACTATTACATTCAGAATGGACACAGGCGACCTTCAGCATTGAATGCTCGAGACCCTAAGGGAGGTCATATTGCCCCTGCTGCACAAAGCATGACCGGCAAGCCTGATGATAATGAACACTATAAGCTCCAACAACGATAACATGAGATGTAGGCTAATATGTGTACTTACAAACCCATGACCATATTACGCCTTTGACTTCTATGAGGCTGCAACTCCAGCCACCCCTATACCCTCCGATGGACTGCGGGTGAAAGCCCACAAAGCCATACTTCTGCTATAGATCTTTTGTAGAAGTCCCTGCAGCATAACTGCATACAGAAGCCTTGTGCAGTTCTGCCAGGGAGACCCAGACAAACGGAAAAAATCCTTGTAGAGGCCCTACAGAATTTTACTATGAAATCACTGTGTAACTCACTTCGAAAACCCTGCATGGTTCCCTACAGACCATGGCCCCAAGTCTAGATGCTCTAGACATGCTTATGACCTCTTTTTGGCTTCCCGCATCCCATGCCTCGAGCTTCCGAAGGGACAGCTCTCGGAATACGCCCAAAGCCTTTTACAGATAGTGGTGGCTTTTCGGGTTTGGGGATTCGGGCTTGCGAGTTCGGGCTTTGTGAGATTCTGAATCCAGAATACCTTGGGAAGCATTCATACGAAGGGGTTTGTGCGGGGTGTATGGGAAAGATTTGGGGAAACATGGACATAGACAGTCTAGGTATCTACGCTCCATCTGAGATGTAGGGGATCCTTGTGTAGGTGACCAAGGAGCTGCCCTACCCTGCCTTGCGCGGAAACACCCGCATTTCGCTGCAAGCAGGCATGAACAATAAACCTTGTCAGTTCTCCGACTTAGGGCCCATTTGAGGCCAGGCAAACTTCGCAGACACAGCTCAGGACTCAGGAGTGTTTGTGATTGAGCGGGTCCCAACTCACGATTCTTTGACGACCAGAGACCCAGCTTGTTGGTACACAGCTTCTCCCCAGGCAATTGCTCTGCTACAGGATCCATTTCTCTCTTCCCTGCCAACAACCAGTAAGCTTAAGCTTAGGCTCTAGGCTCAAGACCTTACCAGGTCTGGCAACTTTTTGGTGAGCATGCCAGGAGGTTAGCAACTGCAACCTTCGGTGTCAGGGATTAGGGTTTGGGGATTATACGGCTGAGGGAGTTCTGATGCCGCAGCTCGCAAGTCGAGTCTAGTCCCTAAGCCTCGAGTCCTCTTCACAACGGATCTTAACACCTGCCTCTTACACCTTCTATTACCGCTGGTTTTCCGACACCTGAACCACTGCCCCTAAATCCTAAACCCTCAACTCCCGGACTGTCTTGCATGTGAGCCCGCAAAAAGCCCTACGAACACGACTGTCCGTTTGAAACAGGGCTAGACCAGGCTTTCCGGTCTAAGGGTTTAGGGTTTAGGGTTGCTACATGATGGCTCGACGCTGCTCTATTCTCATCCCTACGCAATGCCCACGGCCCAATAGCCCGCGTCGTGGCATACGGCGGCATACGTCAGTTTTCAGATGTAGGGCGCCCCAATATAAGCCCCGATATGCTGAACCCCTCTTTCGCGAAAAGAAACATTTTAGGGAAATCTAATATCTACATGTCCTCATACGAAGCCCTTTATGTCTGTACATGTCCCCTATAAAGGAACCCCCGAAATTTGAAAACCCCCCAAATGAAATACAGCCCCTGTATAGACAAAGTTTCCATTTAATTGCCCGTTTTTCTTTGTGATTCTCCATTATTGGGGCAATATCCCCACACCCTAAACCCCATGTAAAAGCCTGTATAAACCTTGGGTACCCTACATTATATAACCCTATACAATCCACATATGAGCTCCAGTCTGAACTCCTTGCATCTCTCTTTTTAACCCCTACAATACTCCCCTATATACCCCCCTGTAAAACCCTCTAAAGGAGCTTAGATTGTGACAGATATAGCCCCTCTAACCTCCACAAACAAAGACTTCGCGCCAGAGCCACCTGTTCAGCAGTCTTGACTCCGTCGTCGAAGTCTTCTGCCAGCACCTCCGTGCCAAGGAAATGCAAGTGGCTCAAAGCCAAATTTAAGCTTCCGCAGTGTGCAGCGCTCTTTTCATTGTAGTTTGGGGTGTAGGGTTTAGAGTTTAAATCTTAAGCTTTGGGTGACGCAGCCAGAAAAATGTTTTGCTAGTATAAGCTATAAACTACATCCTGCACCCTGGGCCCCCTAAAAAACTCAACCCTCACACCGTAAACCCGAAATCCCTCTACATCTTCACTCCAACTCGGACTTGAGCAACTGCTGGAATGAAGCTGCACTCACCCTGAAGACTCGTGCCCTGAACCCCAAACCCGAAACCCTGAACCCCAAACCCTGAACCCCAAAACTACGGCCCTGGACTCAAAGGTCTCCATGTAGACGCATCACTTGCTGCTCATTCATGCCTGGGCTAGAGCCATGATGTGCAATGCCTTGCCCATTCCTTAGCGGGGCAGCGTTCCTAGCGTGGCATACTCGGAAATACCACATAGACTTATCGATAACAATAAATAGCATACTAGCGAAACGCCTAGCAAGGTCCTGTACTTTGGGAGAATAGAATGATGCATTGGATGGCTGGTAGGAGTTAAGGGGCTTCGGGCTGAGGGTTGCAGGTCTTTGCGTCTGGCTTGCAATGCAGTTGGAGTTGGTATGCATCCTTACGCAAGCAGAACGTAAGGAATCATCATGACCCTCAACCAGATTTGCGGGTTTCAATTGGCGAGAGCCTTCTCTGTTCTGGAGTCCGTGGTATGCATGAAAACGGCAAACCTTTGGTTTCGAAGTGCAATCTCCAGAGGTTCTGTGCCGATTCAGCAGTAGACCATGCAAAAAAACATTCAAACGTCTGCCAGCCCAGCATCCTCATCTGGCATACCCCTAATCTGCAAGCACACTGAGCAACTTCAAAGCCCACAAGAGGTCGTGCTCAAGCACCCCAGAATAGATAGCCAAGCTGTTGGCCCCTGAGGACGGAAATTCCAGAACTACTGTACCATGCAACCATACACAGAGCCTTTCAAGCTCAGCATGCTGGATATCAAAAGCTGGTCCGGAGTTCTTGCATGGGAGGGATGCTTGTTACATGTTCTTCCTGTTGGTCAGCTCCAGGGACCATCTTCACACACGGATGTTGCAAGGAATGCTCGAAAGCTCGGGGAACTTAGTACGCAGGTTACTGCTTTGCAGCGAGTCAATGAGCACGTACTAGCCAGCAGGGCTCATGAGTATCCCCTGAATCGTGGTTCGCAGCTACATAATCACTTTCTGCAGTTCGCAAACTTACACAAAGCAAGACAAATCAACCCAACCCAAGCCGTGCGTCCTTTCTTGTCTCCAGCTTCCTGCGGGCAACAAGGATGGGAGTTGGCAGCTTGATGTTCTCTTCACACGCTTAAACATAACATCTTCAAAGCCTGAAATGAAGCAGCGTGTGGCCATTTTCTGTGATGAACTATTTGGCATGAGGTCATGCAAGCTTGTTTGTCCGGACATCACTGGGCCCAAAAATCTCCATCCGTATGAACCCGAAAACCCTGCCTCATAGAGCCTGTAGGACTCCTGCGCGAACATGTAGGAATCCTGGGCTGATAAAAATTTGGGCTCTTCAGAAGCTCAACGTCAATTCTCCAGCAGCTTTTATCTGCTGCAGCCTGGAAGCCCAAGGTTTTGGGTTTAGGGTTTAGGGTTTAGAGTTTCGGGTAGAGTTTAGGGTTTAGGGCTTAGGGTTTAGCACAACGGACCCCAAAGCCATCGTAGCTTATTCGGAGTTTGCGACGCATAAAGGTTTTTGCGCTGAATGGCTCGTGATCTCCGGGCTTCCCGGCATCAGTATCCCCTATGGGGGCTTTCCCAAATTTAGGGGTACCTGTAATATGTATTATCATACTTTGGGGTCTATACTGCTGTCCCGTTATCCTGGGAAGCTACCCCATGCTTTGGGTTTAGGGTTGAGGGCTGGGTTCCATGAGGGCAAAGGCTTTGGGCTTCATGGCTTCAGCTGTTGCATGAGCCATGTTTTAATTTTCAATGCATGACATTTAGGCGCTGCTGACATGAAAATCACTACCTCCGAGAAGTATACAAAGAACACATGTAGTTTGAAGCTTTGGGAATTGAAATTGCTGCCAGTACCAAGGCGGTTTAGGGTTTGGGGGTGCTGAATCTGGGTTTGCCATGGCTCCCATAGTTCTTCAGGATATGGATCCGGACTTAAAAAGAAGCTTTTCCGGTATGTTCAGCATCACCTTAACCCCTAATAATCACCCCTCCCAATAATACACCCCAAATTATCAAGGGAATCTTTATCCTTAGGGGAATGGGGGGTTTGTTGCCTGGGGAAGGGATTACTTTTAGGTGAAGCTAGGTGGCCGCAGGCCACGTATAGGAGTACCCTTTGCGAGGCTGTGTCTCATCCTATGGCAGGGATGTTGAGGGAAACGACAATCTGCAAGGAAGTCTAGAGAGCATCCAAAGTAAGTAGGGTTTAGGGTTTAGGGCTTATTGAGCAAATTTTGGACCTCGCTGGAATTCCGCAAACATTGCGGCTTTTCATGTTTTTTCTTGTGAGTTGGCACAGTACCATGTGGAGGGATTTCACGGGTCGCATGAAGCACCTGACCACAAAATGGAGCCCTCGCTACCCTGAACCCTAGGCCCTAAAGCAACCCTGCAACATTAGGACCCAAACTACGGATTCGAACCAGGAAAAGTTCAGGTCTAAGGAATTTCCAGGCGGATACCTTCTGCCCAAAAAACCCTCATCGAAGCCCGTAGGTAAGGGTATCCACCTTAGAACTCCCTACCTGACAAATCCTGCCCCCTAAACCCTTAGCCACAGAATCGTCGTTCATCCGGAGCTTGATCGCGGCATTTGCCTGGACGAAGACGGCCGTTGCTTCAACCTCTCAGCAGAGTTTAGGGCTTACGATTTAGGGTTTAGGGTTTGGGGTTCAGGGTTTAGGGTTTAGGATTAGTCTACCGCTTACAGAAGGCAGGCGAATGTAAGCGCTGTGATGGTTGGAATAGGATTTTGAAGTAGACAGTTGTAAGAGAACATTCAGAATTATGAGGCCGCTGAATCTGAGAACCTCCCACACTCCCGAAGGGTGGCTTTGTCTGTGGTGGCTTCTGTATTTGCGACATCTCAAAACAAGACTCGACAAACTGTGGAACACTTGCAGCTGCTGTGGATGGACGACAGCTCTCACTCCTGTAGCCCCAAATAATGGTAATTGCAACACTATGTGGATCCTACGTGGTGCAGGATTTTCATCAACAGTAAGTATTACCTGGACTGGCATGGAACCTCCCTGAGAACCGCCAAAGCCACCTGCCCTGCGCCCCTTCTGAACACTAAACATTGGGTACTGCCCCCACCTTCTAACAGTCTATGTTAGGGGTGAGATTAAGGGCTATAGGGATTTCAGGTTTAAGGTTTAGGGATTTAGGGTTCAGGGTTTAGGGCTATAGGGATTTAGCGTTTAGGGTTTGAATTTAGGATATATAAAACTACAATATACGCATTCTCCAACTGTTACAGAATGCGGGCAGTACCCAAACTAAACACCACCCCGTCCCCCTTGTGGGCCTCATACCTTGGAGGTGTGCAAAATGTTATCAACATTGTGAATGGTAGTTTGTTTCAACACCAAATCCTAGCATCCAATTTAGAGGCCTAAAAAATGCCGAGACTACCGTGAAGCTTATTCCCCTTCACTACAGTTCTATGTGAACCCTATATCATCCGAGCTTCCATTTATTGTCCTTTCGATTCTTTACCCCTTTTCAACCTGGACTTGATTCTTTATCCCTTCCTTGCATCTAAATCTAGACCCCTATTTACGCGATTCGATCTCAAGGTAGCCTTCTTGTCGCCGGCTTGTTTCGCCAGCTCCTTCGACTTGTTCAAGTCCTCAAGGCTGTGTGACCACATGAACTTAAGCCCTAGGCCCAAACCCTCATCCCTAAACCCTAACTCTAAAGCCGAAATCCGACACCAGTACACCAGGTTCAAACTAGCTGCATCCCTCTCACAGTGTGTCGGTAGATACAGTATATACAGATACCAATGTATTCATGCGTCCAACCTACTCCATCACCTTCTTGGATGCAAATTTACATGCACATATATATATATACATATATACACGTAATAGATGCATACTAAGACTTCCTTATATATTGTACGACTCGCATTGAGAAAGAGTACTTTGGGGTGTAGTTGGGTATTTCATCTCGGACCGAACTCTTTACATCCCTTCGGCAAACAGATAAGCGAGTTTGCAGGTGAATCCCAGCTCTAAAGCCCTGCTCAAGTACGGGAATATCCCAGTACGTCAAAATTGGTTGCACATGTTTCTCAATCTGAAGCCCTCCCCACAGTCCTCAATAGCCTCACCGCGCTTCTTGCCACCTGCAAAAAAATCATGCACATTGCTTGTGAGGATCATGTGCCCAAGACGTCCGTGAAGGGTTGGGGCCTCTTGAATCAGGTCTTAGACTTTGCTGGAACTGGCAAAGACATCTCAACATGAAGCTCTTGAGTTGGTGAGGAAAGTGGGCTTCGGGGACGCTGTTCAACGCTCCCGCCCTCTACCACGTGAAATGCAACACAGGGGGTATGCAGAGAAGATGCGCTGTAGAGGTTCTTCTTCGAGATTCTTCTGGGTCAATTGGTGCAGAGCTACAGCGCTCAGGGCTGTGGTTGCTGTGGGGTTACAAGGTGTATAGTGGTGTATGGCGCACGTTCTCACAGTCACGGGCAATGCCTAGCACGTGTTCGTGGGCTTCACCAGTAAGCAATCCTGGCCCCTGAAACTTGAACTCTAGATTGAACACCTTCTCTTTTGTCTTTCTGTCTCACATGAGCCCCGATGGCTGCCCGACTCTAAATCAGTCGGGTGCTTTGCCTTGCTTAGTTAGCACGAGAAATTTCCGTCACACAGGTACCTTGTGACTTGCTACTCTTCTGGGGACCAGTACTACGCGGTTAAGGTTTTGGGGCCCTAATCATCTTCTATTGTGGTACGTAAGCGAGAAGGGTCCCAGCACTTAAGCAAGCCACCCAGCCTACTCCCCTTGAACTCACTAATTCGCAGCCAAGCCCTCTGCACAATACTCTGGATGCCCTCCAAAAAATTCACAAAGCCTCAACACTGGGTCCTAATTCCTGAACCCTGAACCTAAACCCTAATGCCCGAATCATCTCAAACAGAAAAACCCCACACCCGAGAGCCTAAACGAAAGGTCACGAAACAAACATCTGAAATCCGACCTATGTACAACAGTAGCTATGAGAGCTTGCCTAGTCCTAAACTCTTATACATCACTGCATAATCCCAGTGTCTGTTGCTTGTTCCATTTTCTTTTCTATTCAACGTTCCACTCTTGGGATGGCATCCCTAAACCCTGTACATCCCATATGGTCCCGATTTACCCTACATACCCTAGACCCCAAACCCTAAACCCTTAAAGCTGCAATTTGACAGACGCCTCGCTTGTTGTAGTTGATCTCACCAGCCGCTAGGAGCATCACCGCCTCTCCTCGCTTCTCGCCAGCCTCCAGCAGAAAGACTTTCAAAAACACAGGGTTTAGGGTTGAGAGTTTGGGGTTTAAGTCCCTTAAAAGAGGGTATGAGGGGTTACAGTATATAGGGATCTATTGGTTTGGGATTCGGGTTTTAGGGTCAGGGTTTCGCGCTCAAGGGTCGAAGGTTGTAGGGTCTTAAAAGCTGTGTCCAATTCACAAGCTAGCTGTTTCCATTTCTTGTCCACTACCAAGAAAAGGAAAGTCGAAACTAATGTCTGTCTGCATAAAAAAGCGCAAGCATAGGGCCAAGAAAGTAGAATCTAGTAGGTGTGGAAGTTCACCAACGAATTCTGAAAACACGCTTCGCAGTACGGCGCTTACTAATAGCTTGAATTACTTAGCGTATGTTCCTCCAAACAGGAAACACAACTTTCCTAAGGAACCTCATATACACTCACAAAACCCAGTACAGAAACCATACCTGACATCACGGAACTCGTGGCCTCCTTGAACTTGGCGGCTTCCCCCTTGGCCAGGCCCTCTGCTTGGGTGAGAGCCGCCTGCAAGAAGTTTGATTGTAGGGTTTTTTTAGGAAGGTTTAGGGTTGAGGGGCGTTGTGCGTCTTGGGATCAGGATCAGGGCTTAGAATTTACAATTAGGGGTGTGGGGTTTCAAGTGTGTAGGGCTTCAGGCTTCTGAGGCTTGGGGCTGAGGGTTTCCAGGGCTCTGGGCTTATGAGGCTTCAAGTCCGGGCTTGCAGTTCAGGTTTTCAAATGTAGGGCTCAGGGTTTGGGGTCTAGGGCTTAGAAACTTGAGGTCTCTCTTCCAAGAAGGGGCCGTATTCGAACGGGGAGGTGCCGGGGGGTTGGATTTCGTAGGGGGCTGTACTTGGTCATACAGGCTATTTACGGGGATGCATCAGAACCCCTTTTTTTTGCAACAGGCTTTCGGAGTCCAGAAACCCTTAACCTTGAACCTAAACCCGAGGTTTGCGTTTCCAACTTATAGGGTCCCTTCTGCTTCTAACTACAGGATGCAGTTGTGAGAGTGGTTGCCAAAAGTATGGTCCTTTTGGGTCTCTGGACTTTAATCTTTCTGTGTGTGTTGTGCTTAATGAGTGGATAATCATGTCAGTACTCTTGTGATATAGTATCTTCCCTTCTGTGTCCTTTTGTGGACCGTGATGAAAGCCTTTTCCAAGAACGCCGCCGGCATGGGTTCGAAAAGTATTCTACGACCCCTAAAATAGTGCTCCAAAACGAGACCGTGGTCTTGACACCTTAAACGGTACATCATTTGTAGACTGCCCTTTTAGGCTTCGTAGGGTGTGGGCATCGGGTGCGCTTTAGCCTGGCCCATTGACCCCACGTTCTGACATTCGTAAGACTGGGCGGCGTACCATGCTACAACAGACATCATAAAGTCAGTGACTGAATGATCCGATGGGTGTTTCTGAACCTCCAAAAACCCTTTGCGGAGAACCTCCACACGCAAGACCCTTACCCCAAACTCAAAATTGCAGCTAACTCATGCTTATGGGATCCTAGACTGAAATTACACCCCCAACGCTTGTTTCCCCCCAAATAAGGCCCAAGCAAAGTGAAAATGAGCTCGAGTTAGGCCTCACTTGAGTGCATCTTGGGAAGGGGAGTAGGAGTCGAGATATCCAGGATCTGTACCCTAAAGCCTAAACCCTCTAAGGTTCAGGGTTAGGGTTTAGGGTTAAGGGGCCCTAAAGCCTAAACCCTAAGCGCGCCTTGATCTCCTTGGTCTTGTCTTCCTCGGCGCTCCGCAGCACATCTGCTTGGATCCGGTACGCTAAGACCATCATTCCTGGGCTTCCAGAGGACGGCTCAGTACTCTTAAGAATGATTAAGAACAAAAGTTTTAGGGTTTAGGGTTTAGGGTTTAGAGTCTGGCACAAACAGTAGAAATTCTAGTAATAGCAATGACAATGGAAATGAGAATGCCAGTAATACGTAAGAGTCTTGGGCTCAGGGCATGGGATCTTGGTTGCATGGGGTGTATAATGCTGTAAAGTTTAGGTGTTCCTTTGATAATTTCTTATGTAGGGAACCCTAAACCCCAAATCTTAAACCCTAAATCCTAAACCCTAGACCCTAAATCCTAAACCCTAAAATGCAAGCATTAGGCTGGCAGGCTGGTCTCTCAAGTCCCAGGCCCCAAGCCGTTCAGGGAGAGTGGGGGGGATGAATTTAGGTACCATTCTAGGGGTATATATGGGGGTTTCCCGAGGTACCCTTTTGGGTGTCCCTACAATAAGGACTATAGCAAATTGGGGTCCATATTGGGGTGCCCTAATTTTGGGAAACTACCTTCCACGGATTCTATAGTTATGATTCTGGGGATCTACTCCCCCACTCTCCCTTAAGCACCAGTAAGTTGCTCTTGTTCTACTAACTACTGCTGCGGCTCCTGCTCGGGAGCATCAGTACGCTAAGACTTGACAAAATGCCAATGTGTGCAGCAACCGCAAATCTCTCAGCGGACGATGCAAAGCTTACCATCCCAAAACATTGTGGGGATTCTCTTGGGTACTGCAGGCATAATTAGGGTTTACCATCCCCCAAATTAACCTCATGTAGGTCCCTTTCAGAGGTGCAGCGAACCCTTGTTGGGGTTCCATGCTAGTTTAGCTGAAACCCTGAACCCTAAGCCCTAAACGTGACGAGGGTAAGCTGAAGCCGAGATGCTAAGCGTGTCAGCCACACCGGTCGGATGCTTGCAGGCCTGTCGCAGAACTTCTTTGGAGGCTTCCGTACAAAGCCTATGACATCTGGTAGGGACGGCTACCAAGATGAAAGAAAGCTCTCTCTCTATCTGGTAGTTTCCCTAAATAGGGGGACCCCAGTATAGACCCCCAAAATCTTGTAATCCTTATTATTGAGATCCCCAAAACGGTACCCATAATTTTGGGAAACCCCCATCTGTTCAACCTTTAGATGAAGATACCTGCGAATTCGGGGCCTTGAACTTCTCAAGCGCTTCTTTAGAGCGCGCCATGCAGCCATCCACATCCTCCCAGGGGCTCTGCTTCAGGGTTTACGGCAGGTGTACGGTTGGGAGTTCAGAGTTCAGGGCTTGGAGCTTGGTGTTTGGATCTCAGGGTTTTGAGGTATTGTGGCTGCAGTTATAGGTGGACCTTGGTTTTAGAGGACGATCAAAGCTGAAAAGTGTGGCTGCAGCCTCCAAAACGGATGTGCAAGCTGAAAAGGGCCCCACAAGACTCATATCCTGCAAAAAAACCGTCTACATTGTCTACATAGGATCGTTTTTCGAATGGCATGGGTGGTTGTGAGTTTAGGCCTTTGAGGTTTTGAGAGTTGAGGATACGGCTTCTTCAAGCGCACGACTGTGTTCATGATAGGGGGCTTTGCAAGGGCAATGGTCTTGGATCAAGGCTTGCCGATTTGGAGCCGTTGCGCCAAGACAGGGCAAAAGTCCTAGCTCGAGACCATCCTAATCCCTGGTTTGGATTTAGAATTGCCTAACAATCCTCGATTCTCTACCCAACCCTAGACCCCAATGCTGAGAACTCTGCACGCAATGCGGTGACCCTAAAGCCGGCCTACAGGCGATCCCCTGGGCTTGGCCTGCTCAGCATTGGGACTAAGCATGAGCATTACTGGTACTACTGCTGCTAAACTCCGATTCCTACTCCCACTATAATTAAAATCACACCTAAGATCTATGCAACCGACCTTTCTAAAAACTCAATTCTGCTACTCTCTCACTGCCACTTTGCCAGCAGCACTGCCACCATTCATTCCCCTCCTCTTTCAGCGATCGTGTCTCCCACTACTCTTGCTCTCTGATCATATCCCTAGTCCTCTGAAAGTAGATAGAATATGGGTATATTGGGATCTTACTAGAATATACCCAAATCCATATTCTATCCACTCATATGGGACTATAAACTCTGAATTCGAAAGCATCCATGGCAGTTTCCACAAAAACCCTAAACCCTCACCCCTCAACAGGGGGGCCTATTGCACACCCAAAAACACCATAATCTTCATGCGGGGCACTCCCAAAAGCTGAGAAATTTGGGGAACCTCAGTTAGGATTTAACGTTAGGGTTTAGGGTTTAGGGCTTTAGGGCTTTCGGGTTTAAGGTTTGGGGGTGTCCCAAGGGTACCTTTTTGGGGGTCCCCTTATTTTGGGAAACTACCGTAGCATAAACCCAACTCCCGTCCTCTTTGTCTAGCCTTCCTTCCGCTGCTACAAAGGCCAAACAACCCTCTTTCTCGGCGGGGGAGGCTTTGGGGTTTGCTGCCAGCTCACCTCAGATGACCATTGGGTTTAGGGTTGAGGGATGAATTTGGGGGGTTTAGGGTTTTGGCCCTAGGGAGATTATGTTTTGCTGGCAACACATAAAAATCACGAAGAACATAAATTCATGCACTACCCGTTAAAAAGACATTCAGATGCATGTCACGTGGTCTCCTCACTTTCCGGTACTGGTATACATGGTACAATGGGAAACACATGGCTAACCTCATATGACTGAAGCTATCCTTTGTGGCCACTTTTCGTGGGTGGTGGGGGTGGATTGCTTCAAATGTCTTGAGATGATCGCACGAAAAAGGGGGGGAGTGTCTCGAAATGGCAGACCTAAGGGACCTCGGGGATACAGGGGAGTATTAGTAAGAGGGCTTTGGTAACCCCAACCTCTCAGATTGGAACCTGTCCAGGTCCCAATTTTGGAGGCCTGGGTTACTGGAATCCTCGAAGTTTATACAGAAAATTGGGCAGAATCACGAACAGGATAGTGAGAACAGTAGCGACAACAAGTGTCGTACAGGCAGCAACCAGCATTGAAATCATGCTCCACAAGCAGCAAACAACAAACCAAAAATCATATGCGCACGAGCAACAGAATGCAAGCGACGCTTACAAGAACAGACGATAATGATGCGTGCGCAGGGAGGACCAAGAAAATTGAGATAGTGCTTTCGTTGTCACGCAAGAGGTCCTACGTTGACGTGCCTGGGATTACGGAGCGCAGAGTTCGCAACATTTCGGCCTTCGCCCATGCGTTCTGTGGCCTGAGTGTTTGAAGACGATTTCGAGGGTGGTTACAGCTCAGTAGAGAATCCTTTTTTTGAACGCGTGCACGGAAGACTGAATTCTGAGTAGGGTTGGCGGGTTTGGCAATTCGCGATTGAAGCTTCCTTTTGGCAGGCCTGCCCCACACCTGTGTGTTGCCTGAAGCCAAGGCCTAAAGTGGTCCTCATATTAATGGCTTCCGTATAGTAGCTCATGTAGGACCCCCCGAATAAAATTAGACAACTAGGTCCTGGTTGAAGAGTGTGCATATTTTACGTTGTGGCACCGTGCTCTGAACCCCAAACCTAAGCTGTCCCTCTGAGGCGTCCAAGGCCCACCTTACGCCGAGCGTCTGTAGTGGTCCGCGAGGCCATTGAATCTGGCAATGAGGCTTGTACTGCGTGCTTGGGGTTCTGACCTTTTAAAAGGGTTTGGAACCGCCTGTTCAACGTTTTGTCCTTATAAAGCCATTCGTCGATGCCTAAACTCGATCGCAGGGCAGGGTTGGCCAGCTGGCGCAAAGCTAGAACTTGGCTGATCACCACAAAATTGGGAATGACTTTGGCAGGCATTTACACCCGCAAGACACCCCCACAGCGGTCAAATTCGTGCACCTTACCAGCGGGATCCTCATGGCAGAATGCATGCAAAGAGCTGCAGTTATAAGACAACCCAAAAAATCGCATCACTGTGGATTCCTCAACTCGTCGCACCTCCATGCGGGCCATGTGTTTCTGAATAGAGCTATGATCAGCCCAAATGGTATGCACCTACCGCTGTCCCCAAGCATGCCTAAATAATTTACATTCACCAAGACCTACTACAGGGGCCTAAATACTTACCACTATCATATTGAGGTCCATTTGAAGTACCATATACCATAGTTATATATAAGGAAAATGGAACCCTCTGAGCTTGGCACGCCAGCTCCAACGCTCCGTTTGCCTCTTGAACAGACATGTTGTTCACCTGGCAGGCAGGTAGGGGGATGTGGCATGCAAGCACTACCCCAAACCCAATACCCTCTCCCTTCAGCAACTGGCTTGCAGATGGTGGCAAGCAGGGACAGGGAGAACATCAAGTTTAATCACTCGGGGAGTGTGCCTGTGGTGCAGGCAATTCGTAACCAGAACCCTTCTGTCCTCAATGAGCTATACACAAAAGCCACCGCAAAACAAACTCACACACACACACATGAATTCCGTCGTGCGAGATTGACAGCTCGTGCAAGCCAAACCTCGCCAAGATCATTACATAAGAGCTTGCTTAAACTTGTTGCTTCCAAACATGAAGGGAAACATGCGTGGGGTCCAGTGGTACGCTAGGCACGTGAACACAGGGCCCACCAGGGTGGGATACAAACTGTTGAGATCCCATCGGAAATGTCGTAAAGGTACCCTTCTTGTGCTCCAGCGCCGTGAACCTGAACCCTAATCTCAGACCCCCGAGGCTAAGCCCAAAGGCTGAGCTGCTCAACCCCAGCCTGGCAAGCCTAACCCCTCGGGCACGAGACTTTGGCCTAAGCCCTCAATCTTAGGATCAGCCCCACCGCACCACTCCTTACTATCACGCCCTGCATGATGCCCCACAAGGCCCACAAGTACAGTTCGGGGGGATGCGTATGGGCTGAACCTACTCTAACCTCAAGAAATCATAAATGAAATTCGAACCCTGAATTCCCAAACTCTAACCCCCCAATCCATCAAGCCTATGCTGAACCCCAGAATCCTCTGAACCGCAGCCCCCTCATCCCAAACCGTTGCTTAGCAAGGAATAGGGGAATGGCCTTTTTGGGATTACTCTGACGCAAGATTTGTTGGGGCCTACTCTAGGGATCCATTTTTTGAGAATCATGTCGAAAACCTAAACCCTAAGCACCATGTGAGCTCTTGTAGTCTAAACTCCTAGTATCCCGCTAAACACCCCCTTGATAGCCCCCTGTCTTTAATAGCCCCCTGTATAATCCCCTACGTAACCCCCTTGAAGGAGTTTAGACTGTAGCTCATGTAGGAACCTTAACCCAAACCCCTAAACCCTCAACCCCTAAAACCCTAAACCCTAAATAGCTCTTGTAGGAACCCCCACCTGCTGCACCAAAAGGCACCAGGTTGCTAACCGTGAAAAACTGGAAGCCACCTGGGCGCCCTTCCCCGGGCGGCTGTGGGCCAAATGGCGGCCGGCGAAATGCGCGCGTTTTACACTCCATGTGTTTGATCGAGTAACAAAATAGTAGCAATAGCAGCAACAAGAAAGATAACCGAGAAGCAGTAGAAGAAGTAGTAGTAGTAGTAGTAGAAGTAGCAGTAGCAGTAGCAGTACTAGTACTAGTAGTAGTAGTAGTAGTAGTAGCAGTAGTGGTAGTAGTAGTAGTAGCAGTAGTAGCGGCAGCAGTAGTAGTAGTAGTAAGAAGAAGAAGAATTAATAGTGACAATCATGGATGATAACCAATGTAGCGATCTGCTAAAATACAGCTGAGAGGTAAAGAATTTGGGGTGTACAGTACGGATCAGGGCTTAGAGCTTCCGGAAATTAGGCGTGCCTTTTGGGAGCCCCTAAAACATAGCATGCTGGGGCCCCATTCTGGGAAAGATCCATGTGGGTTCTTTTGACAAGGGATGGACTTTCATAACCCATGACCGGCTGTGGTCCCTTGAAGGATTCTATGCATGGCCATCTGGGCCATACTGTCAAGCCTATAAAGACCACTGACACAAAAAGCGTCCCCGGCAACCGCAACATAAGAAGTCTTTCGCTGGATTGCCTTATCCAACCACCCACAATCACCAAAACAAAAAAGAGCCTAAGAAAGACGACTGTCTCATTGAAATGAGACTTTTGGGGTTTCCACGTTAGTTTTGGGGAAGGCACTCGCAACATAACCTCTGCTAAGCTTCAAGAAAACTCAAAAAAAACTGTGCACCCAAAACCTAGCTTTCACGGACAAGTCATATAGGCAACTTCCAATAGCAAGAAACACCCCGCCCCCACTCAAAATCCAGCCATTCTTTTATGCCCCTCTATGGGGAACCCATAGCCACTCAATAGCAACCTCTCCTTGATGGGGGACCCAAACCCCAAACACCCTCAGCACACCAGGATCCCGCAAAGCGTATGGGTGCCATCCAGCTCCTCCTCCCGCTCTTCCCAACTTTCTGGAGGCGCTGGGGCTCCTCCAATGCTGGGCTCAATTCTTGCAGGCTTTTTAAAAAGCAGACTTTGAGTAGCAGATTTGGATTCTAAAGGGCTCGGAGTGGATGAACCACGACGATGTTCTTCAAGTCAACTTGGACTCAGCGCAATTTGGCGTCATGTCCTGGCAGGGTTCCTGCAAAAAACCAAATTTCATCAGAGCTTTTTGGAAATCGGGTTGCCCCCTGGGTACAATACCCCAAAGACCTTCCTTGTTCTGCACGGGTTGTACAACGTACAAGCGGTGCAAACCCCACTTTATCTGGCGTTTTCCTACGGACTGTTCGTATTGGAGTTGGCTTCATAGAGTTCAGATGAATTGGCTTGTGCAACTTACGGATCAACTTACACAAACATACATTCTCTGAGCACACCCGACGGGATCCTTCGTCGCCTTCATCTTCATCCTCGTCAGCAGGATCCTCCTGGCAGTGTCGCACATAGGTTACTTAGGGGGTGACACGGTATTCGGTGAAATAGATTCGGTGAACTGCAGCCGCGCTTTCGGTGAACTGGGTGCAGTTCGCAGTTCGCAG